TTCCCGCCAATATTTCTGACGCTTTATCGAGCTATAAATTGTCAAAAACTGTTACTATGTAGCGTTATTAAAACTGATTTGATCATTTAAGTACAATTTAATGATTTTTTCATTGTTAATGGCGTACTCGTACTAAATAACTAATATTCTTATTACATGTTTTCTGCTATACTTAATACCTACAGTTCAATCGTATAAATTAACGAGTTTTCTATCATTTATCATAACTGTCAGATTCATCGTTTTAATTTCTTACTATTTTAATTCGTACTAGTAGAATATAATTCAGGGTTAAACCTACTTACAGATTTCATTTATATATTATATATAAGGAAGACATATATATACATATTATTTACATATATATATACGTACTTATCTTTTGCATTAAATATATATAACAATCATATTATCAGCGCGTGTCAAAGATCTTACAGTAATTTTTATCTAAGTGCGAGGCAAACGATAATAATGGTAGACAAAATATTATTTAAAATTGTATTCAAAATAATTTTATATTACTTACATATGTTTGTCTGTTTGAAACTATATAACGTAATTTCATAATAAATTGAGAAGTAAAAAATTTTTATAGTAATTTATTGTATTATTTACGAGAGACGGATAAAGTCGGGTGAATCTATATGTTGTATTAATAATATAAGAATTAAATATGAATAATTTTATATATATAATAATAGGTATATAGAAACAAATGTACATATGTAGAAGTAATCTTAGACAAGTTTATAAAAGAAACATATCGAGATGCGCGTGCGCATGTAGCAATCAAGACATAATGCAACCTGTGATATACCTATCAGTTATCACTGAACATTCAACACTACTGAACACTTATCGATAGAACTCTAAGGCCACACACTCACTGGACGTGCGAACAGCTCAGCGCACTAACAATTACTGATATTAATATATTATGTTTTGTCAATATTGATATGAAAATTCGATCGTACGGTTGACTTCAACATGATATATATAAATATATACATATATAATATGTATGTCAGTCAGTGGTGGCCTAGTGGTTAAAAGGCCCGCCTGTCATGCATGAAGGCGCGGATTCCATCCTGTCCCGGGCAAGTATCAATGTGATTTTTCCGAGTCATATGTACTTTCTAAGAGTATTTAGACATCACTGATTAATGGATTCGCAAAGAGGGTTGATGTCAGGCAGGCGGCCGTCTCGTAAAAACAATTAGCCCAAACTATTCACAACATGTAAGCCAGACCCTGGCTAAAGCTAGGAAATTGGCAGGTAGAAGAAGAATATGTATGATATATATTTGTAATTTGTTTGCAGGAATCATCTTTAATAAATTAATATTAATTTTATTTAAAAAAATGTATGCATCAATTTTACATAACCACACTATATACGCAGGGTTGACATTTTTTCATTCATATATCTCATATTCAGTATGATGATGCAAACTACTACTCAGCATAATCATATACAGTAAGGTATACAAAATTATATAAAAAACAAATTGAATGTACAATTCTCAGTATAATTTGAAATGCACTTTGCATTAAAAACTGACCTATGACACTGATTTTTAGCCGTTCGTACTGTATGGCGTTTTGAGTATAAACTCAGATAAATATATGTATATTATAAAATAAACCATTGAACCCATATTAGTACAATATCATAACTATCATCATCAGCCTATCAGAGCCCACTGCTGAGCAAAGACCTATTCTCACATGGAGAAGGTTTGAGCAATAATCACCATTCACCACGCTTGCTCAAGACGGATTGGTGATTTCTAACTTATAATTTGAAATAAGTCCAGGTTTTCTCGCGATTTTTTCTTTCGCCGTCTGTAAGTGGTGTCTTAATTCTCTTATAAAGTATATACGACCTGGAAAAATCACATTGGTACTTGCCAGGGCAGGGATCGAACCCGCGCCCTCATGCATGAGACGCGGGCCTTTAACCATTAGGCCACCACGACTTGTTATATCAATAATTTTTTAATTTGTGGTCGAATATTATTACAATTTTTAAGTAAATTTGATAGAAAAACATTTAGATTTTTGATTAATATGATTAAATTTGATTATAATTAGTTTCTTTTTAATGGGTAATATAAAATGTTGATACCTTTACTTTATACAAACGTAATTTAGTGAACCGATCTTTCAAAAATCAAATTCTTATACATTAAGAAAAAAATTATTGCTTGTAATTTTTTTATTAGCAGAAGAAAATAAACAATCTATTCAATTACTTACAATAACAAGAAATGATAATTATTTTGGATCTAAAAACGTTCTTTTTTTCATTTAAACAGAAGTTTCTTCTACAGCCGTGCTCACAAGAAGACGAGACCATATTCTGTCACACATTTCTTAATTATCTCACATACTAACTTACCCTAAGTTCATTAACCCCACCACGTAGGAAGAGTTAGGAGTTTTGTATTTAATTTTGGTCCTTACCTTTATATAATTAACGTACGTTATTGAATGACAAACGGAGAGTCAGTGGTGGCCTAGTAGTTAAAAGGCCCGCCTCTCATGCACGAGGGCGCGGGTTCGATCCTGGTCCTGGCAAGTACCAATGTGATTTTTCCGAGTCATATGTACTTTCTAAGAATCTTTAGACATCACTGATTAATGCATTCCCAAAGGGGGTTGACGTCAGGCAGGCGGCCGGTCGTTAAAACAATTAGCCACAACTATTCACAACATGTAGGCAGACCCTGGCTAAAGCTGGGAAATTGCCAGGTAGAAGAAGATTGGGTGAGAAACGGGAAACGCATCGTATGTAGAGACGATAAAAACATGTGCTAAACATTTATAATCTATATAAGAATGCACTAGAACTTTCTAAGTATACACTTCTAAGGATACCCTGAGGTCTTTAAATATGGTTACGAAAATTGAATTATGATGATGATGATGTATTTATGAAATGAAATCATTAAAACCTTACGTTATTGAATATTTCTATAATATAAAATTGAGCTAAAGCCTATACATTAAATAGAATTCTCAGAACAAGCAAGACAACTTCTCAGCGGCTGTTTGAACTATATTGTGGATTATTGCTGATCTTTTCATTCAATAACAAAATTACCAACGACCTCACGCTAAAGCTAGTAATATTTTGAGGGTTTGAGCATCAGGAACCGTGAAGTAAACACATGGCTATATAACTCATTCTGTCATCATTTACAGACTTGGAGAGATTGTTTCCAATGCACAAGACATCCACATCGTAAGATAAATCCGACGATATCAAGACAAATAAGAAATGAATATTCTAATGTAAGCTATGCATTCTTCGTTTTAATTTGATTTATGTAATAAAAATATTTAGTATTTTTTTAGATTTTTAACTTTAAATTATTTTATTTAAGAAACTACTAACCATGTTTCAAACTAAAACAAAATATGAAACTATTGTGTAATTTCCATTTCAATTAGTATATAAGTAATGTGTATTTTGTACGAAATATATTACTAAACAATTTTGTTTCGTCTTATAAAGTAAATTGTGTTAATATAGTTTTAAACATCAATTCATTTCAGTTTATGTATAACAATGTGCTTTTTACATTAACTATGATATCGTCGGGGATAGTGCAAATACGTGTAAAACTTCTTCTTCTACCTGGCAATTTCCCAGCTTTGGCCAGGGTCTGCCTTACATGTTGTGAATGGTTTTGGCTAGTTGTTCTTACGACCGGCCGCCTGCCTGACGTCAGCAATCTTTGGGAATGCATTAATCAGTGATGTCTAAATACTCTTATAAAGTACATATGACTCGGTAAAATCACATTGGTACTTGCCAGGATCGAACCCGCGCCCTCATGCATGAGAGGCGGGCCTTTTAACCACTAGGCCACCACTGACAAATCCACGTAACTACCGTTGGATACCGCGTATCTACATCTGACGAAAATTATCAGAAGAAAGTTTAAGCTGAAATATTTTCTAAATTAACGACTTTTAAGGATTTTTTTTAACAATTAGTAATTAATTTATTACTAATTCATGTGTCGCATTATTTATCCGGAGATATATATCTCGTGTAAAGTCACTGACAAGTTAGCTTGTGATAGAATCAGGGTTTCAGGACGAACTCTTCATGGAAAGAAAAATCGACTCTTTAAACCATCCAATTGCTTAAAATTGAAACTGACCTACAACAGAAATATAACCATTCTTAAACCTTTAAACCAAAATAGTTTAAAGCTTGTGATAAATAAGATCTAAAATGCTAATTAAGAGGAATGTAAAAAAAATGTCCCAGACTAATACCAGGGTTGTACACTATAGTGCTAAAAGAATTATTGGAATGATGAAATGGAAATTCTGTGTTTAATTTATGCTATGTACTCGTGATTGAGGTAAAAAAAACCCTCCCAAAAATATGCAGATTTTGTTTGAAGATAAGCCTACATATGCTTTTGTGTGGTAGCGAAATAAAAGCTTGTTATCATGTTTTTTTACGGATTTCATCCACAAAATACCTGAAAGGGGTTTAGATTATTATGCATGCTGACTTAATCATCCAATATAAACCAATAGCCTTCGGTTTCAGAGAAGTAACTATGTACATCAGATCTCCAGTTAGCTATAGTAACAATGCCATCGATATTGTAACAGTTTAAGAGAATTTAAATAACACATAAACTTGTGGCTAGAGTAAAAAACTTTGCAGTCCTAAAATGGTTTTGGCAACAATAAATGGTGGTTTCAGACGAGCTTAACTAGACTTGATTTGCAATATATATTTCTAGAACATTTCCATACGTTTGTATATAATATTACATGATGGCTTGCATTTTTTGTTAGCTGTTAATTCTTAAGGACCATTAGAGGCGAATTATTTGTTATTAAGCTGCAAATATGTATATATACATATTTTTTGAATAAAGTATTCTTCGAATAAGGTCTTTGTTCGAACCTACTGAATCTTGGATGTTTCGAACGAATAAATTATCCAATTCAACTACCGTATAAAGCTATAACTCACCCATGACCTTCTTGGGCGGCATCTTCCTCTGCTCCTTTTCCTCAGCCTCCTCCCTGCGCATCTTCCCCTCCTGCCACTTGCGCTTCCTTCCCTCCCTTTCCCTCTCCTCCAAATACATCCCCAAGTCCTCAGAACCAACTAGTGTCAACTTCACAGAAGACTCCCAAGCGAAGTCCTCTTTACGACCGTCATGCATAATATAGTCTTTAGTATCACCAAAAAATTCCATCACAAACGGGCCATTGCCCGCACAACACTATAGTCACTATATGGATGATGTGAGGATGATAATCACCAGCTTGTTAGAAAAGGACGAAGAATGAATTGTACAGCTTTTTGATGCCTGTTGTCTCTCTCTGCCTGTGCCGCTGGAGGAGTTGGTTCTCTATTTTAAGCAGCATGTTTGTACTGGAGCGACAGAGGTGATACTGTATGTGCGGTACGCCGGGGAAGGTTTTCTTTGTGAAGCGGTTGCCGATCAAATATGTTGGCTGACAGTTGAGAATGGCCTCCATGTGGCCTCTTTTGAGGTACGGTTCGAGTTTTCCGAGCTCGATGTCAGCCTCTGTTCGTAGAGGCGGTCAGCTACGGCTCCTGTAAGATTTACACACTTTAAATTACGTTCCTATGAAATTTGCATTTAGAACCATGTAAAGTCTCAATTTAACAGCTGTCAGATTTTAAATTTCGAACACTTGAAATATAAAATCTATACGTTCAATTTAAAAAAATAAAACAATTCGTTCACGTAATTCAAAATCAAAGGACAACGTACTTGAGTGAATTAAATTGAATTTGTCAAGACGTAAGAGGTCTTCGTTATGAGACTACGATATATGATAAGATAATACAAGTACTAAGGAGTAAAGCATTTTGTAGTCATTAAAATATTATAAAAACTGAAAACAGTAAAAACTAATTAAGTAATTTTAATTGCAAAATATATGAAAGAAATTTTACATGCATTATTTTTTGCGTGTTTTTTTTTGCAGTATTAGTGCTTAAAGGTCATAGAAAGTTCAATTGTTAGTTAAGCATACATAAACTAATAAATATATAAAAGATTGTAAAATCTGAATATTTTCAAACTATGGGTCAAATTGATTTATTAAATTTTTCAATATGTATAAATAAATATTTTTAATCCAACGCGAAAGTCCGTTAGTGATAAAGAAATTAATTTAAACAAAAATAAAAAAAAACACAACCCTCATAAATATGTTTGTTTAAAGGGTATAATTTAAAAAGAAACCTTTATTTGCAAAGGCAACTAGTAATTGACATTAACCGGAAATGGTTAATTTATTTGTTCTAAGTTTTTTAAGAGATTATAAAAGTTACATAATTACTTTTCTTTTCATATATATGAAAAAATACTTTGAAATAACCAAAATACATTCAAAGCGAGTAAGTTATTTTTTAGGAGAAATTAGAAGTATTTAAAAAAGGAATTTAATTATATAATAATTAGTAAGGGAATTTTCTTTAACGGCTAATCTCAATTCCTTACTACAATTCAAAATTGGAACATATAGATCACATCAATTCATCTAATAGACATTTTGATCGTCATTTTTTAATCTGTGACATAACGTCCGTATCTCGTATGGCTGGAGGTCGTCGTTTATAACTGACACAGTTTTTTATATTGTTAAACCAACAAACACTATTAAAATAAAATAAACAATAAAAAGCCTATACACATTCAACCTAATATTTAAATTGTCAAAGGAAATATAAAAACTTTTTTATACCCGAACTCCTTTCAAATCCGCGAGTTCCATTTTCAAATTATGCACAATCAATTTTCTCACCTTCGATATAGTCCAAACGCGACAAATCACTTTATATATAAAAAAATCCTATAGCCGCGGAATTCCTTAGACGGCGGCCATTTTGGCGAAAAAAATCCGCTCAAGTCACGCCATGGTCACTATATAGCATGGCCTAATCAACCATGGAACTTCTTTTTGGCAATCCGTACTAACTGTGCGAAGCGGTCAGACTCTATTGCTAAATTGCTACGTCAAATGAGTAAACAGCGAAGATTGCTGGTAATTCTCTGGCCAATGGCGCGCTGTGGGCAGAATTGGTCCATTTGAGACAGGGTCACTCAATTGTTGGGTCAAGACGTTCGATGGTTCTGTACATACGGAGGCCATTTTGTTTTTTTAATACTCCAAATCATAACAGTCTTGTAGTTACAAAGATATATTTAAATTCTTGCAAAGAATTTGGGTCATATGGAATATTGCATTCAAAAATATTCACTTTTTATACTTTTTTCTATACTTTTCTACATATTATGGATATTTTTTCTTGATCATATATAAGAATGAGCCAACATCGCCCCGAATCCCGTATTTAATATGCCAGAGTCCGACAATTAAAGACAATCAGTTTAAACAAGACGCGAGTGTCGTTCTTTAAATTGATATTTATTGAACGTTATTAAAGTAATTTTCGCGATCTCTTTGTTTAGCAAATTTTTTTTTATCAGAATGAGAGCAAGCTGAAAACATAAGCAAAAAAAAATCCACTAAATATGTACTAAGTATGTCTATATTTTTGGCATATTGGCGTAGGTTTTTCTTTTTTTTTTGCAGATTCTATTGGAATAGTTTAGATCATCCAAGAAAAGATATTCAATTAAAATAAATCTAAGATATTCTTTTCATTATTTTCATAAATATTAATATTTGTTAGTGTCCCATTAGTTTTATAGGTTTAAGTATCTTTTAAAGAGAAAAAAATCATAAACCTACATTGAAATCTTAAGGAATTTCAAATATTCCAATGAATATTAGAGAAGTTCTATCAATTAATGCCCTATTACTACGTTTTTGGCATAAAACTGAAGCTGCCCAAAAAAAACGCTCACCATTAATATAAGCAGCGCAGTTAATCTTTGGTCAGTCGAGGCTCGTGAAGTTACCAAAGGAATTCTTCATTACCAACATGAATATACTGCAGAGTCTTTCCATTAATGTTTCCTTGAAGACCAGGCTGGTGGATCTTCCGTCCTTTTCACTCTTAAGGTGGTGCGAACTGGTTCTGTCTCGCTCTGAGGAGCCAAAGGTTTCTGGAAAAGACACAAATCGACGTCAGGACATTTAACAGCTAAGCTGACATAACATACAAATGTATACAACATTTTTGCCTAAAATTTGAAGAAGGCAGATAAATTACCAACACTTTTTTTGATCTAAGAAAAGGCCTTCCAAAACATATTTTGATGTCCAAAAACGAAATTGGAACAAACAAAAAACACTTAATCTTTTTTTTACGTCCAATTACTATATTCTCATTAATTCCTAACTTCTATGTTCATACAAATGGAGCTTAAATGGAAACCTACACACACAAAGCCGGATAACATAACTAGTTTATAACAATACTATACATTACAGTCCTCAATCGGGGACAATTAATATGAAAAACTTTAATTGACCCATCGATGACGAGTAATGGGTATTTAACTGGTATTAATATAAACGGTTTTTAATGACTCCCAAGTCCCAAGTTAGCGTGAGTTAAACAAACGATATTATTGGACAAAAACTAATATAGTTTTTGCCTGTGACTTTGTCCGCATTGTCACAAAGTGCGTTAAAATAATACATATTACAGCATCACAATTTTTAGTTAGATAGAAGAGTTTGTACGGTGTAGGTGAGTGTTTAACTCGTTATATAGGATCCCCTTAAACCTACACCTGGGTCGCAAGTCCCAGTCACTGTTGAAGCTCCTCTCACTACAACGATGGACCCGACACACGCACCGTGAATACATGGAATGATGAGAGGTTTCGTCTCTCTATATATATTAAACCTACACCTGGGTCGCAAGTCACAGTCACTGTTGAAGCTCCTCTCACTACAACGATGGACCCGACACACGCACCGTGAATACATGGAATGATGAGAGGTTTCGTCTCTCTATATATATTAAACCTACACCTGGGTCGCAAGTCACAGTCACTGTTGAAGCTCCTCTCACTACAACGATGGACCCGACACACGCACCGTGAATACATGGAATGATGAGAGGTTTCGTCTCTCTATATATATTAAACCTACACCTGGGTCGCAAGTCCCAGTCACTGTTGAAGCTCCTCTCACTACAACGATGGACCCGACACACGCACCGTGAATACATGGAATGATGAGAGGTTTCGTCTCTCTATATATATTAAACCTACACCTGGGTCGCAAGTCCCAGTCACTGTTGAAGCTCCTCTCACTACAACGATGGACCCGACACACGCACCGTGAATACATGGAATGATGAGAGGTTTCGTCTCTCTATATATATTAAACCTACACCTGGGTCGCAAGTCCCAGTCACTGTTGAAGCTCCTCTCACTACAACGATGGACCCGACACACGCACCGTGAATACATGGAATGATGAGAGGTTTCGTCTCTAGCCTGTCACGTGACTTTATTCCAAATAAACCGACTTCACCAAGTAGAAACGCATCGAAATGAATTGATAAATCCTATGTCTTATCCTTATGTTTAATCTACTTAACGCAAAAATATAATCAAAATCCGTTCAGCAGTTTTTACGTGAAATCGTAACATACAAGACATGCTCATTATATTAAGAACATTAGTTATTTTACTACGTATAGTTAAATTCAATGTTTTCTGGTAATATTCATAATCTAATATTGTCACAAAGATAAATACTATATGAGTGTTTTATTGATAAACAAAACTGATGATTTCTGAAAAAATACCTACATATAATAAGAACATATTAATAAGAAACATACAATAATGTAGAGATATTAATATTATAAATGCGAAAGTAAATCTGTCTGTCTGTCTGTTACGCTTTCACGCCTAAACCACTGAACTGATTTTAATGAAATTTGGTACAGAGATAGAGTTGACCTTGTGAAAGGACATAGGATAGTTTTTATCCCAGACTTCTGAAAGGTTCTCTTGGAACCGCGATATAACTGATTTCCACGCGGGCGAAGCTGCGGGTGGAAAGCTAGTGTAGAAATATTTTTTATAATTTATATTCGTCTCCAAAACTGTCCGAAGAATACATATACATACTAATATATTTATTAATTTCTAAATGAAGTTTTATTAACAGTATAGCAATTACTACATGTTTAAGTCCTGACACTACACACGTAGCGTTAACAGTTTTTCATTAATATTTTCATACATTATAATTTATAGTATTATCGTGGATTATTGAGTGAGAAACAGCAGACTATACGTATGTAGTGTGATGCAAACTAGTAGTAAACATATCGATCGTCATATACTGACCCTCCTGTAGTTCATATCTCGCGAAAATCTATTACTAGAGGGAAGACGGTCATTTCACAATTACACGACAAGCAAACTAATTTATATCTTGTTATACGAAATTGTACCTAAATGCATTGTAATAGGGATATTGTGTACTTGATGTCTGTGACAACCTTAAGTGGGATTTATTGCATCAGGATAAAACCGGAGCATGTGGGAGATATTCGGTTACTATATACGAACGACGAATAATATATAATGTATATAGTAATATATATAAAAAAGCTTATTAAATCAAATATATTAAAATAGACTTACATAATATAAACTATAATAATTAAAAGTATTATTATTATTTTTATAAAAAAAAGGATTTAATTAATTATGAAAAAATAAAGAATATATTTAAAATTCAAATTTCGAACTCACCAAAAAGCGTCATACGCTGTCAACAAATCGTCGGCCATTTTGTATTATTATTGTTTTAAAATTTCGAGATACCCAACTTGTCTGAATCAAATCTGAACGTATTCTGTACTGCATATGCCTATTGCCCCAATGGGTACTAACAATTGGTGCACTACAATGACCTCACGAGCAATTTGATTTAGGCCAGAATCATTGTGATGACGTCAGAAAAGAAAATTAAGGATCTCATAGAAATATACAATTACAACCAAAAAGGTTTTAAGCTTTTAAAATACTCAAGAAACTCATTATGATTTCATTCCATGGCTGTATAAATACAATAGGATGATTGAAAATTTAAAAAAAATTACCACGGATAAATTTTTTGTTGGATATATGTATATTTATGACGTCATTAACCTTCTAAAAAAGGCAACAGCTGAATGTGTTCAACTTTAAAATTATTAATATTATTTTTTGTTAGTGAAATAAAACTATGATGATTTGAATGTTTTAAGTAATATAAAATTAATAGAAATTGTATAACGTGTAAATGTTTGTGTTGACGTAACGTAACTTTATAAAAAAATGTAATTATAACTCTAAGAATATGCCTAAAAACTCCATCGTAATTTAGAAAAAAATTGAAGCTCAAACCAATATCCTATAGGAATGCGATTTATATTGCAAATACTATAAATCTACTATATAATAGAAAAATATAAACTGCATATTCTTCTTTCAAATCTGTTACTAATGAGTAATGAATGAAATATTTTTGTCAATCGTTTCTTTAGATCAAAAAGATCTTAATTATAGCATGGTCATGAACGCGCCAAGTGAGTCGTCATATGGTTGCGGGAAGCCATTTTGTTAAATTAAAGATAAAAAATATATATATATAGATGTGAAAAAAAATCAGGCAAAGACATAAAACAATAGAGTTATGAAAATATTGAGTGTATTATATTAGGTAAAAAGAGTTGAATTTAAACAAAAATTATATAAATATTACCTTAAAAGACTTACATGCTAAATGAACTCTTTTATCAGTCTATAAGGCTTGGGCGTGACTGATACACATAAATTTATTCGCTTATAATCGGCTAATTATGTGATTAATTATATATTAGGTATATAAATTCATTAATAATAATAAATATATATATTTATTAAGAATAATTGCGAAATTATAGTATTCTATAAACATTGCTGAGAGGCTAGCAAATTATACAATATTTAAAGTATATTTGAAGAAGTGAAAGGAATGAAATAAAATAAAATTATATGTTCATTTACAACGAGCTTATAAAACTCATAAAATTAATTATGATGATTATTGTCAATAATATATGCGGAACCCAAGAAGAACATGGACGCATTTTTAGTATAGGCGATTGAGGCATCAATATATAATAAGATTAAAATGAACGTCATTTCTAAACGTTTTCAAGGATCACTTGTTTATATTTCATTTTATTTTCCACTTGACAGTAACTGTCAAAATGACACATTGTTTTTTTAAATCGAGTAAAGGAGTTTTATACACGTACATACTCACATAGGTCCAAAACCACTCTGACTACTACATACAAAGATTTTTTTAAATATATAATTTAAAATAATTTAGAGGTTTTTTAAATAAACTATGTACGTAGTAAAAAGAACATATTTGAAGCATCTATACATGTATTCATTGTAACATAGTATAGAACATCGCAATGTTTGATTTCAGCAATGAAATCACCAATCCAAGGGCATTCATTCATTTGGGTTCTTATTGAGGTTTATTTGGTAGTTAATTGAGGGAGTGTTCGACACAATATATAAGAATAATACTTTGAACTAGATAAAGCACGCTTTAATGGAAAAAAGTTAATAAATAGAAAAGATAATAAATTCAAATTAAGAATAATGGGATATTAAAAGATTGTTTAATCGTAAAAGAGCCAAGTTTTTTTGCATACATCCATGTTTTAATTTTTATGTCATCCGGAATCCAGATAAAAGATTAAAAATAAGAAATCAATACATATATATAAAGAAATGATTTAATTAAAATACGATAATACTATATAGAATGAAAAAAGTTCTTCAACTGCACGTATCGACGTCCTAGTATCTAATTGGATAAAACGTATTTATATTTAATATATTATATGTAATAGATAAAAGGCAATACTATATTATCGTTATCAGATATATATTTATCAAAATTATGAAATAAACCGGTTTCATAAAGAAAAGTTTGATATGAAGATTAATTTTATATATCTATTAAGATTAAAAAAATTTAAAAACAATTATTTCATAGAAAACAGATTGTACTCCTGTTTTTGAATTACTTATGAGAATAATGTCTTATATTCCTTCATATTGTTATTGATAAAAAAAACAACAAATAGTTTTTATATAAAAGATTTAATTTAAAAAAAATAAAAATATAAATGCTATAAAAATCCAGTGAAAACTTCAAAATGATGATTCAATGAGCTAATGGTTTGTAATTTGACGGTAGATTTCAGGGCGCCTTTTTCTTGATTTTCTATACAGAAGAATATTCTTTTAGTCCGAGCATGTACTAAAGCCATAGAACACATATGACAAGGTTCTCTTAATATATACAAGTTATAACCGGTACATAAGTACGGACCTTCTTTGCTATTTTTATTACTATCTCTAACACCAAAATTTATAGCAAACTTTTCTTTTAAATGAATCATTAATTCGTCTGATATGTTATTATCCCAAACGCCGCCATTTTGGGTCCTAGCTACATTGTCTATGGCTATCATCGCTGTGTGTTGTAGAGGATGTATTTGTCTATGATCAAATGCGATAGTAACTATTGAATTTATATCCGGATCGACGACAATACTTGCATTTATATCTTGTAATCCATCGTCAGATAGTTTAATTTGTAAATAATTTGAATGCCACTTGACTATTTCCATCACAACCTCCATATATGTCCTATGAATTACCAATTCATGATCAGTAAAGAATGAATTTCTAACAAGCTTCTCCCAGTAATGATTTGGATGAAAATTGCACGGCCAATATTTCTTCGTCTCCTGATATTGTTTTGTAACTCTCGGTGCTGTAAACGGCACTTCCAATACTTGAAAATAATCGAATATATCTTTGAGTTCGCCGACATTTTTTTCTATATACTCCTGTATTGTCTCGCTGTTGAGAGAGGTGATCGGACATAGAATTATATTCTGACGTTTAACTCTTTTCAAATGTTGGAGTTCTTTAAGTGGTATTTTTTCATTTAACGTCATAACAGCTTTCGATATATCCTGAACATTCTTTATATATCCGACGTAAACTTTGCCTAGTTTTATCGGAGCATTGAATTCATCACTTACAACCGGTGATAGATTTTGATCCGATGATTTAATCTTGTCAATCCATATATCTATATCCGGTAAGTAAGTATTGATAGTTCTTTGTTTTTTCAACGGAGGCTCTAATTCTAAATCCATTTCAGATCTTGTTCCCGCTGAAAATAATACCGATGACACACTCATATTAACACTTATTATTTGGACGATGTTTCATGTAAATACGGTTAAATTATTTTAAGGTATGTAATTAGTAATTACAGAATTCTGTAATAAGTAAATTTGGTAAAATATTGTATATAAATGAAACTTAACATATAGTGTATGTGATAGTTTCTTTAAAGATAGATTTATATTCATAGTTACTGAATACTTTATTTTTTTATTTCGGTAATAAAAAGTCTTTTCGACTGATTTACGTCAAGTGATAAGAGTGCAATACAGTGGGCCTAATGTCTTGTTGACAATGCTGATAATTATATGGACGTAAAATATTCTAGACTAATAAAATATCTAAAACGCAATAAGAGGTTACACGAGTCGAAAGAGATTAATAATCGGATAACCGATTCGACGCAGTGATAAATTAAGCATAAATATATTGAAAATAAATAATTAATCGGTAAAATACCTTTATAAGAATGTAAGTCCTCCTCGAACGCTGTAGCTGGAAATTGCCGTTCCAAAACTATTGTAGTATTTGTACAATTACTTCTAGCACCAAATACGGATATGGTATTGTAAATTAAAAACAAAAACTTGCTCACCACACACGTTAAATAATAAAGTAGCAGCCATTCAGCAAACTGCGATTTGATTTCGATTACAAAACGTGCTTTATCACTGACGTAAAGCCGACTAATACTTTCATTGGCTCTGATTGGTTATAAAATAAAAGACGGTATTTTGTAACCAATGATAATTTTCGGTTATTTCAGCGGTACAATTGGAAACATACTTATAAATTTCAATCAAGAATTTCGTATAACGCATCTTTTGGTAAATGTTATAAATACATATTGTATAGCTTTTACATAATATAAATAAGATTTCTTTGTTAAATACACTTAAAGCAAATTTGATAATCAAATTCAATGAATTTAAATTAATAACTCATTAATAAAAAATACAGTCATGTGTTATGTAACGAAGTTAATAAAACATTGAGACGATTATATTACCTCATTGCCGATTTATGTATACAAGCGTTTATTTAAAAATTTGTATTTATTTTATATATTCCGTCCGAATGACAAATTGCTATAATTTTTTACTATAATATATTATGGTTATCTACGAATGATACTTTTTAAGAGTAACTTTTCGTTTAAGCTTCGGTTATTTTATAAATGTATTCTTTTTCTTAAATTAAACAAACAACTTTAACGTAGTAAGATAATTCGCTTGGAAGATGTCAAAAAGATATTATTAAGTTAGAATTATTTAAATTTATATAAGGACAGTGCAGTGCAGTTTCAATATACGGACACCCACTTGATTGGTGTTCGCCTATGACCTCCAAGACTTTATTAATAGTTTCTACTATACTATTCTAGTTTGGGACCTGAATCCATAAAAAGGAACACCTATTGGTGACTGATTTTCTTTACTATTTTTGTGTGTAACAAAAAGCTGTAAACGTTTGAGAAGCTTCGTTAGTAGAGCCATTGTTTATAAAATCAAGATTTGTGCTGATTTCACGATCAAGACACTCCTTGATAATATATTATTGAAAAAATTTTTCTTATAAATTTGACCGGTGCTGAAATAAAAAAAGTATATTGAATACCTATCCAACCTCCTTTTCTTTTAAATCACTGAAAAAAAAATGAGCAAATATATTTATTTTTATTTCTAATAGAACAATGCCCAATCAGTTTAGTTCTATACATCGTAACTTATTTACAAATTCTATAATTAATTATTATTATCAATGAAAACGTGTATGTTTATATACCTATTATCCTGTACTTATAAATTTTCAAATTCCCTGAAGGTATTTCCATAACTTGATCAATCTTTGTTTGATCAGCTAAAGTGGTACGTGAATTAGGCAACAACTTTGAATCCGTGGCTAAAGAACACGATGTTCATATTTGACTTGCCCAGCAAATGGATATCATGTTTACAATCAATCTTCGACTATGTGATTAGGGTATACCGCTAGCTAAATTTGGAATTTCGTCTTTATACTAATAATAGTAAAATACTTGTTATAACATTTGGTTATGATGTGGTATTCTATTTTTACTTTATTATTTGATATAACTTTAATCAAATTTGTTACTTTTTAATAACAATACAAGTTATATATATAGTAAGGGCTATAAAAATAAAAGATATTTCTTCTTGTATTTTTTGTTTATTATATACCTACTAAGCAATTAAGAAGGTTATATATTTATATATTGTCTAAATGCATTGCAGTATACATGTTTGAGTAAACTAAATTTGTCTATGGTCAACATTTATTTCTTTTCCATTTCGTTGTAAAACGCCTGACAGGTTTGTGAAGCAATCTCACATAACGCCGACAATGACTGTACTGTTGCGTCGTAATCTGAAACAAGTTACATTTAAATTATTAACCGATAAATGCTTAAAATTAATTGTGAAATATATCCAGAATATATTTTAAGTAAATATGTTATATGATGGGAAAATTTTTCCGAAGAGGGTTGATGTCAGGCAGGAACCGGTCGTAAAAACAATTAGCCAAAACTATTCACAACATGTAAGGCAGACCCTGGCTAAAGCCGGGAATTGCCAGGTATATGTTATATGATGCGAAAATCGTTTGGTATAATAACCTCAAGTTATATATTCAATTCAAAGTTATTGTGTATTTATTAAAAATACTTACCAACATTATTTCTTTTACCAAATATAGAGCCGTTTAATGGAATCTTCTTGTAATTAGCTTCACTTAAAGCGATCAAACACAGAACGAGGAAGAAGGTCATGATGAAAAAACGCATTTTTAGGCTGAAATTTTAATAAAAAACAATATTTTTATGTTTTTATATATCAAAAGATCACATCATTCATCACAAATTAATGCATTCCCAAAGAGGATTGATGTCAGACAGGCGGCTGGTCGTAAAAACAATAAGCCAAAACTATTTACATGTAAGGCAGACCCTGGCTAAAGCTCGGAAATTGCCAGGTAGAAGAAGAAGATTTTAAAAGATTACATTAATAATATTTTTACTTACTTTTATTGATACTTGGTAGTATTGAACTAGTATGAGGATGAAGTCGAACTGATGCAGGCACTGAATTTTCAGGTCATTTTATACAAGCAACGGATAATGTAATAAATGTTTTCTATCGAGATAAAATTATCTCAGAATTGCATTACACGAGACATTTGCTGGGAGATTGGTCTATAATTGAATTTATTTTTGAATTTTCTTATAAAATAAATAGATTCTACGACGTAGATTTATATAATGTAAACTTACTACTACTAGTACTGGAGATTTTTCTTAAATTTACAGTCGTTGGATTTATTTCATAAAAAGATCGCCCGTAAATTATTTTTCCTTTAATTTCTTAATATTTTCCACCTTTTCTACTGGGTTTCATCCTACTTTTTTTTGTTTTTAAAGTTATAGACTCTGGTCTATTTACCCTGTAATTCTTTTTTGTTTTTTTAGGGACAGATAAGAAATTTCTCAGCATTCTTTAGATTCACTGCGCGGGTGTCGGGTTAATAGCATTAATAACTATTGTAGGTAAATAAAAAACTGGTGCTATATTCATTGTAATTTTTGCCGGCTACTTTATCTTGTTTTAGCTGATAGCAGCATATAGTATCTTTACATGACTTTACTTTGTACTACAAGGAAATTTTAGTATAATTTTTAAAACACATGTTATAATGTCTAAGCTACATAACTGAATACAACAAAAACTATTGAAATGAAACTAATATTTGTCGGATGTACTAGGTACGCGATTTTTATTTTTATCACAAACTACATATCCCCGACGTTTCGGTTACCTTACAGCAACCGTGATCACGAGCAGAGGAGATAAATATTTAGTAATAATTGAGATTAGAGAAACAAACATAAACATTGACTATAACTATGTGGGTTTTCTCATATGAATATTTTTTTTATAGAAAATTGTCAAGTAAAAGAAATGAGGTTTTAAATAACCTAGTTATTGATGAAAAATAAACATATTAATCGAAAATTATTATACGGTAAATATTATAAGTTATTTAATCTTTGTATATAAACATATTGTAAAGTATATACCCTACTAAAAATAATAGTGTAATATATTATGTTTAATAATGACTGCTTAAAAAAGTAATGTACAATTCAGTGCATAGTTGAATGTCATAACACCACACTACAGTCTACATACGAAACAAAACTCGTTTCTGATTCTAAAAACTAATAAAATTAATAGAATCTACTCTGATGTGCGAAAATGTATGAATGGAAAACTTTAAACGCCTCGTATGAAGTGTCATGCAAACTCAGACTAAGCGCAAGGAATATTAAGAATGCAGTTAAATATAAACTTAGTAGTTTGATTGACATAAAAAATAACTATATGAGGCTCGTATTTATTAGGTCAACTTTACGTAAAATGGCAAGTTCTTTAGAAAATTTTCGCCTAGTGATAGATCAAAAGGCAAATAGATATTCATTTAAATTAGTGTTGGATGAAGTTTAGCGAAAAAAGTCGTATTTTCTACTTATTATATTAAACTAATTATCACTCGGATCGTATTTGGTTAAAAAAATTGTAGATCTTTAAATTAGCTACAAAAATGGTCCTTATTTTTTTTTAAAGTTACCATTCATAAGATATCGCGTATTTAAGAGTCAATAAATAGATAACATACACACATTTCTACGCCACTTTCCAAGTAGTGTTCTAGGAGCGGTTTATTAGATAATTATTAATATTAGCGGTTTATTATTTATTTAATTATAATTGATCAACAAATGTCAAAACTGTAACTTTTGCCATAGAAAAATCTATATTAATGGCCGCGCATTCAATGTAATTATTCCAACCAGTTAGAGAGAATTTTTGGTATTTGCGATAGAACAATATTTATTAAATAAAGATACTTTACAATTTAGACCCACTTCCATGAACAAAATTTCGTACATTCATTTTGATGTACCGAACCACGGCATTGTTTTGATACAGCTTTATTGGTACATAAGCCTTTGCTAAATAATCTTTTGCTGAAAAATCTTCATTTACTCGTGGTATTGGCTCTTGTAATAGTGAATCTTTGGGAGTCAATGTTTTGATATTACCCATTATATGAAATGTATTACAACATTCTAAATTATTTACATTATTTTTCAGCAGTGTCTGCAAATTATTGAATAAGTCTCCGTAACTAGTGGTTAAATATGAGGTGGATGAATGAAAACTACTGATTCCTAGTTCATTGTTTGTTTAAAGCAAAAGACGAGAAAATTTGTATCTGACGTTTCGCGCCAAATCAATAATGAAAAAAAATTAAAAACCTAGCTGTAGTTTTGATTCAAAAGTTCTAGACTGAACAGCGATCACGATATAGTGGGTTATATTCGCACAAATTAATTAATTCCCTGTAATGTGTGTAATATATTTTTAGTTAATAAATCTTAGTAAACTCATAGTACTCCACCTTAAGCGCCATCTATTGTCAATGTCAAATATTAGAGCTACATTATTTGGAAGCTGAATCAAAATTCGACAAGTATATTTAGCATATATAATTTGATTATTTTCGTATTTATATATTATATTTATATATGTATAAATACGAAAAAATAAAAAATAGTGTACAGATTTTTTCATAACTAGATTTTGTCTTTCGTAAATGGTAGCTTAACATACTTTTCTTCGTATGTGAAAAAAAAACATATTTGATGTAACATAAAATATATTATAAAGATCATAAGATATATTATAAGGATCTTCACGTTATGAACAGCGCCTAAATTTAATACTGCCGAAAAAGTTATGAAACTGAAATATATTAAAAAACATAGAATATTCCCTAATTTGTTTATTTGAATTGTTTTAATATAACCGTAAAATAAAATACATATAATTCAAACCATACATTGGTGCTTGTCTTTGCATTTTAAAAAAAATAATATTTCTATTTAAATATTTAATTTGTTTGTCGACAGTTTGAATCGCGATGTCGTAAAAAATAAGACAATAAAGTTGTTAATATAAAGCAATAAATGAAACTATTGTAATAAAATAAATCTAATTTTTAATCTCATATACATTGCTTTGATAATATAAACGAAAGAGAAAATGTACACACAAGCTAAAACTATTAAGTATTAGAGGCCGCAAAGTTATATTCCAGAGTAATTATGCACTAACTAAGTTTTGATCCCCGGAGCTTTATTCCTATCAATATGTGGTCACTATCCAATGATCCCGTAATTGAGTGGACCTAATTCTGTACTATAAAACGCCGGGAAATATCAAACACCACATCAGTTGACACATCGTCTTCAGTGCTACCAGATACAAGAAACAACAAGGTATATTATTATATTTGTCAAAGGAATATATTTTTATGCCTACATATTATATTATAAATGATTTTTTGGATTACTATTAGTATTATTTGTACAATAGAAATACTTTGATTATAATTATTGGAGTTTTAATGATAGTTTGGTTTATTTATTAAAAAATAATGATTTTATTCCAGATGTTCGGAGTATTCGCTCGTTTGACTGTTGCTATCACCATTATGGCTATCCTGCTCTGTATGGTGGGTGAAGCTAAGGCAAATTACAAAAATGCTCCCATGAATGGTATCATGTTCGGGAAGAGAGGACCCACTGGTAAAAATAGAATTAAAACTGTTAATTTATATATCATGAACGTTAAAAAATGATAATTATTATTGATGAAGTATATAAGTACTTCTTTATAATAATTACTCACAATCTTTAAAATATATTACGAACAACGATTGTGTGTAATATAACTATTAATATTATTGTTTCATTTTCAGCCATTAAAAAATTTCTTCTTTGGAATTTAAATTTTAATAACTTATTTTTATTTTAGAATATGATACTCGGGGAAAAACCTTCACTGCACTCTGTGAAATCGCCACAGAAGCCTGTCAGACCTGGTTTCCATCACCAGAAAATAAGTAATCACTTAAAAAACTAAACATGATGTTTTTGCGCATAACTTAGTTATTATATACTTAATTTTTAATAGCAAATGCTTGTTGTAGTTTTTGTCTTGTAGAAAAATAGACAATATAAACACGATAAACTTATCTTCAACAATACTTTTCATTAATAAACATATTCTTTAGAACAAATAATAAATGGCTTTAATTTATTCCGTTGTTTTAATTTTCTTCTATTTGTGTCCAAACTCTAATCTGACCTATCACTATAGCGTATGGCAACACTTCTGTGAACTTTAAAAGATAATAACTTGCAACATGTATTGTTTGAAGAGACTAAATTTTTTGCATTGCCGCTCTTAAAACACTATCTTTCCACCCGGAAAACATGGAACATTCTCACGATAGGGAGGCAAAGAGTTCCATCTTTTGTTTGTCGCATACTATTGATGAAAATTAGTTTTTCTGACACATGTCAATAACATAGCAGTGACGTTTCGCAATTCAGATTCAGAATACTAAATAATTTCGAATCTACCTTATTATAAAATGGATTTACAAAATACTGACCTCGTGGTGAAATAATGGTGTAAATTAAAGTGTTAAAATAAGTTTAAAATACGTTTAATAATATTCCAAAATGACTACTAAGGAACTATATACGAAGGTAAATTTTAATCTTATAATATGTTTTGTTTTTTTTTGTTATGTGGCTGTATAATTAAAGTTTACAAATCATAAACATTTTAAACTTTTTTTTATGATAATCGTTGACCCATTATGATAATCGTTTGCATAATTATTCACATCTAATTACTCTCACTCTCTAAGTCAGATGCATTAAATGTAATTCATACGTTTTTCAATTATTTGTAATCACATAATTTATACATAACTCTTACTTAAGTTATATCACAATATATTTAGGTCAAGTGCCACTTGTCAATTAGTTATGCACTAATTAATTATTTTATATTAACAATATGTGGAGACTTTGATTTTATAGATAAAAAAATCACAGATTAATATCCTGTCTGCAATTAATGGACTAAAGTTTTATGTTCCAAATGATTCTTATTAGATTTCCATCAAAATAATGTTGTATTTTTTAGTATTATACAATAACTACAAGTTTGATAAGAAAAATTTAAATGCATAATTTTTAACTTCAATTTAAAAACTATTATTATTATGCATTTTTAAATATGAAGATAATATTTACATTATTTTCTTTAATATGTTTAAATATTTATAAAATCTATTTTTAACAATGAAACCTTATTTCTGTTTAATGTGAAATGAGGTTGTATTAAGATGGGATAATACGATGACATTAACTGACCTAGGTGTTAAAGACTGCATAATTTTTGTATTATAAGTTTTTTATTCATTTATAATTTCAAATAAAACAATAAAAGAATGAATCTTCTATTAAGATATCTATAGGTACTTTTTTATATATATTCTTATGTTGTATTCATAGAGAACATAAAATTAATAATAATGAAGTTTAAATCAATTAATAGAAATATAATTCTAAGAAAAAATCAAGCAAAACAGAGTGAAAATTCTTGTTAATCTATAATCCAAGGGCTGTGCAAATGAAGCCTAGAAAAAAACTGTTAAAGTCGTTGTACATGTGAAAATATCATACTAATTTGTTATAGACATGACTAAGTAGGCGATGCCGTTAATTGAATTAACTTGGATTAGTTAGAGGTGTGTTTACAGATATCAGTCGTAGAAATTGTTATGTTATACATATAATATATGTTTTATTTCATTATAACTGAGTTCTTGAGAGATTATTTTTTTTGGATTTACGACTACAGCTAGGGTTGAACATAACATATTTAGGTATATAGAATTACTGTCTCAATGGATTTAATACAATTCTATTAATATTAAACTGTATATTAAATATCAGTATTTCTAAAATGTCTAATTATTATTTGACACTTCTGAAGCTGCAATACTCTTAAAATATAAAAATAAATACTTTTGTATTCTTAAATTACTGAAAAATAATACTACCTATTTGTAATTTAAAGAGATTTAATTCTGTTAGTTTGAGAATAAAAATTATATTTATTAGAATTCAAATAGCCACAATGATGTAACATAAGTGGCATTTTGAAAGACATATCAATAAAAATATTTGTTAAAGGTCTCTTCAAATTGTAATCAAACAGGTTTTTTAATGAGTTGGCTGTATGTGTGTGTATGTATGTGTACAGGTGTATATAAAATTTAAGTGTTTCTTATACATAAATATGTATGTGTGTGTAAATATATTAGGACAACTTATCAATAAGGTAGTATATGAAATGATTGCATAATCATTTAGATAAATACATAATATGTTGTTACTATCCAAGACATAATATTGTTTTTCCTATACAAATCTCTTATTTTAGATTATATTAAATATTTGTTATGTGTATGTATATTTAAGTCAGTGGTGGCCTAATGGTTAAAAAGTCCACCTCTCATGCATGAGGGTGCGGGTTCAATCCTGGCAAGTACCAATGTGATTTTTCCGAGTCATATGTACTTTCTAAGAGTATTTGATATCACTGATTAATGCATTCCCAAAGAGGGTTGATGTCAGGCAGGCGGCCGGTCCTAAAAACAATTAGCCAAAACTATTCACAACATGTAAGGCAGACCCTGGCTAAAGCTGGGAAATTGCCAGGTAGAAGAAGAAGATATATTATGTAATAAAATATTATAATTGTTTTATATGTGTATCCTAAATTCTTTTTATCACTTTTAAATTGTATCCAAAGCAATGTAATGACTATTATTATTTATGAATAATGAATAATTATCATTATAATGCAATCTGAATTGATTGACGAGTTAATCTAATAGATAAGTTATATTAATTGATTTATCTTAGTTATCGAATTAATAGTACCTATATATTTTTCTTTTCTTTATATAAATACGCCTCTTGTTTGTCTGTGTGATGTTTTCTCTTTTACATCAGATTTATCACAAAAATCATTTTAATTACTCAATATTGAATGTATATTATATATTTTACTTTCTATCTATCAATATTATTTTGGCTAATAATTATGCCCGTAATAGCTATCGGATAAGTTGTTTGTTTATTATAATTCTATCATATTTCTTAAAAACGAAAAGCAAAGTTCTATATAATTAAATCTAACGAAATATTTTTCATCCTTAGTTCCAAAAGCGGTGAGATTGGTTAATAGGTTTAAGCAAGTCATTATTTTATGGGGCACAGTAACAACAAGTATTATATTCTAACTTTCAAACTATCATGAACAATTTTTTCTTGGTTCTCATATAAGCATCGCATTAATCATATAAGTTTTTAAATAAGTTAAGCATCTAGCAAAAGAACTAATCGTCTTGCGTTTTACCAAATACAACTACTGACTAAATTTTAAAATACTATTTTGTAATGAATAAGAATATTGATGTAAAACAATTTTGTGAAAACCGTATTGTTCTCATCCTTTTATTGTACAGGAGATCAATATAATTTTTGAAGCGAAACTTGAAGAGGCCAAATATATTTTTCATTGGTTTATACTAGTTGTTTCCAAACTTATTTTGTTCACTCCCACTTAGAGAATACATTATTTTTTAATGTCCCCTGTTTTCTACCTACTGAAAAACCATTATAACTTGTCCTAACTCAATTAAATTACAAATCACCCCTCACCCTACAAAACTTCCCATTTTTTTCTGGGTCTCTTATTCTTAGGGGTGCTTAGGGTTGTAGCGCCCACAACGAGTATACATAATCAAACACAAAGAACTCAGCTATTAACATACTATAGTGTTGAATATAAGCTAGTATTTGTCCATATTAATGGTGAAATTTCTTCTAGGGGGCCCGGATATGGGTGGAGCACCCGGAGCTCGTGTGGGAGTGTGCCACCGTGACCAGCGACTATCGTTCAGGAGTCCTGATCGTTCAGACAGACCGGACTGGCGAGCTGCGTCAGATTAAGGTACATTCACTAACTACCCTCAAACACATGGGTATACACTAACTACCCTCATATTCGAGGTTATACACAGAAGTATTGCTTTTATATTTGTCTTGAGACAAATAATATATTTAATTACTCTATTCTATATATGTATATTGTAATTACTTTTACTCTTAGTCTGGCTTACGTAGTTTTCAGTGGCATGCACACCATAGATGGGTATACACTAACTACCCACATATTCGAGGTTATACACAGAAGCATTGCTTTTATATTTGTCTTGAGACAAATAATATATTTAATTACTCTATTCTATATATGTATATTGTAATTACTTTTACTCTTAGTCTGGCTTACGTAGTTTTCAGTGGCATGCACACCATAGATGGGTATACACTAACTACCCACATATTCGAGGTTATACACAGAAGCATTGCTTTTATATTTGTCTTGAGACAAATAATATATTTAATTACTCTATTCTATATATGTATATTGTAATTACTTTTACTCTTAGTCTGGCTTACGTAGTTTTCAGTGGCATGCACACCATAGATGGGTATACACTAACTACCCACATATTCGAGGTTATACACAGAAGCATTGCTTTTATATTTGTCTTGAGACAAATAATATATTTAATTACTCTATTCTATATATGTATATTGTAATTACTTTTACTCTTAGTCTGGCTTACGTAGTTTTCAGTGGCATGCACACCATAGATGGGTATACACTAACTACCCTCATATTCGTGGTTATATAGAGAAAAATTGTTTATATACTTGAGTCAAATATATATGTATTTAATAACTCTATTATTTATATGTATAGTGTAATTTCTTTTAGTCTTAGTCTGGCTTACGTAGTTTTATATGTGATTTAATTATGGATATAGTCTTACAATTTTTTTTTGCATGGTCATACAATCATAAAGAAAAATTGATGTAGAAGTTTTTGATACTACTAAAACATAAAAAAAATCTCAAATTTATCAAAACCTGACCAGTAGGTATTGGGAATTAGTCTGGGTTATGAAATTGATCTTATGGCATAGGGGAGAGTTGGTTATATCGTACTAGCATTTAAATCGTACCACTTCTAAATTTCCCATTTAATGAATATTTTTTTCTACACTGACAACAACAAATCGTGGCCCTGTACCATCCCTCTTCACCCACTAGTTTAAATCGACGTGAGTTAACAACTGTGCAAGTAATAAAAGAAAAACATTTTTTGTAGGAATTAATATAAATATTGTCGTACATTCGTAAGGAGATAACTCGTAATCAAGGTAAGTTATAGTTATTCAGTTTTTTTTTATTATTCCACAATTGTATACTAGATTATTGGGGGTTTTTGTTGCGTGTCTAAGTTTTGAGTTTATGCCGGATATTTGCTTATGTTTTAGAAATGCCTTAGTTGGTTTAATCGCACCACTTGCAGTTGGTTAAATTGTACTGGTACGATTTACCCGACTACCAACCGCAAGTACCTATAGTACTACCGCAAGTACATATAGTAAGTACTACCTAAGGCCAAAAACAAAAGTTATAAGAGGAAACGATCTCATTCCATCACCAGTAACGATGATTCAGGAGAGACACTTGTTGTAGAACTAGATGATGATGATGACAGCGATGATTATCTTGAAAATATATGTCGAAAGTGCAATTGTTCTTACTACGATAAGAAGGGTCCAAAAGTTGATTGGATTCAATGCGTTCGCTGTAAACGGTGGCTACATGAGACATGTACTTCGAATCCAGACATTTGTCATGGTTGTTTCCATTAAGAAATATGCACAATAATTATATTACAAATAACATTCTTGTTAACTATTACTTTATTATTTATTTATTTATTTATTTACTCTTTAATGTACACCAATATAGACAGAAATAACAAGAGAATAACAAAGAAAGGAAAAAGTACAAATAGGCGGCCTTATCGCTAAAACAGCGATCTCTTCCAGGCGACCTTTATTATTATAGTTTACTGTTTTTTTTTTGTCTCATTTTTATTAGTTATGTTGATTGATCTCATTATCAGAGTATAATCATGTTATTTTACTGAGAAAGCTTATACCTAGTTCCTTTATATAACCTAAGAGTTAAAAATTAAGTTTCTATTACCTAAAAGATATTAATAATGTTGTTTTATTACTTACCTAACAGTTAAAAATAAATAATTTGATTGAGAATTTTAATGTCTTTCATTCAGTGGTACGACTTAAACACCCATGGTACGATTTAAAGACTTAGTGGTACGATTAAAACGACTAGTCGGCTAAATCGTACCGATGGCAAGCCTCTATAAAAAAGCATTTTTAACAATGTTAGAATAATCGCAAGGATCTGTTCTCTTCTTCTTAGGAAACTAAAATATGAAACTTTATTTTACATATGTATTAATTATTATAAGACGTGTTATAGTCGAAATATTTGAGTTAAAGTGAAAAGTGGTACGATATATCCGACTCTCCCCTATATATAAAAAATATATTAATTATTATGTAAACCTATTTATTGTTAAAGATTCCATATAAAATTATAAAAAATCATATCAGTGACTTAAAAATGTCTGTGTGTGCGTGTCTTATAATGACACGCACACATTCATATATGTATATGTGTAAATATTTTGTTTTATAGATCACAGATGAGAGCAAGATGCCCCCCCTAAGGAATCCCTCGCTCCTGATTGGTCAGAATGATCTGACGTCATTGTCTTACCTACACGAACCCGCTGTACTGCATAATTTGAAAGTCAGGTAATGAAGACAGATTGATTATTATTAGTTAAATATACATAGGTATTAATTCCATTCTTTGTACCTTCAGTACGAGTTTTATGTTAAACTTAACGTCGTGCGTTTCAATGCATATGTTTTTTAAGTGACAAATAAAGAAAAATAAAATATTTTCAAAATTCAATATAGTATAAGATCTGAAACATAGATGAATTATACACAAAGTTTTTCATAGTTGGTTTAAAAATTTGAAGTTAAACAATACATTATGAACACTTGAATAAATATTGAACTATCCAACGTTTAATATGAGCAAAATGTATATTTGAATTGTACGTTGATCTTTATACAGGGTGACTGGTGAATTACTATCAATATTTAAGGAGCATACTCGGTACATGATTCTCATTCGAATTATGTAAAAAAAATAGGCACTTAATTTTTGACAAAATTTCCGTATAAATAAGTAAAGTGTTGACACGTTCCAAGTGTTCAAGTGTGGACGCGTGCGGCGACGTGTTGATACAACACCACGTCACGACATGCGTATGTGTGAGTGTCAGTGTATACCTAATCTGTAGGGTGTTCACACGATGCGTAATTAATTACATAACTTTTGGTTAACTTTACTTAGAAGTTTATTAATATTTATGTTATATTAATTTTTATTCCGTCATATATGATCGTCAAATATCACGTCCTCAAATATTGATAGTAATTCACCAGTCACCCTGTATATTATAATTTATTAATAAGAATATATATTTTCAAAGGCTAATAATACTCCATATATTTGACTTTTTACTATTATCGATTTAAACTTGGTATCGTAAAAATTTATAGACTCATGAAATACATAGAAACTATCTGCTTTTACTTTGACAATACAAGCGTAATGATTTTTCAGATTTTGGCGAGTAGGTATTTATTTAAATGAAACTACTATTTAATAAGCGCATTTTATTGTTTTTAAAACTACGAGTACGTACTCCCGTTGTTTCGGTTACTTTTCAGCAACCGTAGTCCAGGGGCGACGAGATGTTCTTAATTAAATAACTTTAGTAGATTTTGCGTAATCCTTTAATAAACACAAATAAAAACTTTCGACCATATAATATTGGTCGGATTTAAAAAAAAATGTGAATCTAAAAAGTTATTGCTTATATTGGTTGTAATCATCAGAATCAGCTTAATTTGAAGGACATAATTGACTTTATTTTAAATATATTATTTAATAAAAAATTATTTTATCAATTGCAAAAAAACATAATCAATGAATTCAATTTACATAATTAAATATAAGTCTCGTGAAATCGATACTTCTAGCCGCCATATTTCTTTACACTCTGCGGTCAAAAATATTAATTTTAATTTATCTGTACATACACAATAACATGTTAATGTGTGAGTATAATATGTTTGTGTGAGTTTCCATTAGTTGCGGTTAGAATAAACGCACACATAGAAGTGTCCAACCTCTATATATGTATATGTGTATGTGTGTGTTTTATCAACATTGTGGTATATGTATGTGTGCGAATCTTCCTGTATTGAGTTTGTATGTGTGAGTGGCCATTAGTTCTAGATGTCATCTTCAATATTAAACAAGCGCATTTGACCTACATACGTACAAAGATATTTTAATGGTTGTAACAAAATATTGTTGACTTAATTAAAACTTAAATTAAATTTAACTCTTTTACGAGTGAATTTTTTTTTATAGTAAATATTTTTTTTATGGAGAATGTTATTTTGATATTTTTAAGGACTATATACTCGTACGTGCAGGGAAATCTCAATGGCCCTTCTTAAGAGAATTGTATAAACATACGTAGAATTTAACGCAGTCTAAGTTTATAAAGAGAGGATTTTTTAAAATAGAACGCACATACAACTATTAGGTCCGTGAAGAATCCTCAATTTGTGCGTTGTAATTAATTGTCAAATATAAAATAACTATAAAATTACGTTCGTCTTTTCTTTTGATCGTGAGTAATCTCAGGAACTTCTGAATTGATTTTAGGAATTTTCTTTAGATTAGGAGTTCGGAGGGAAAATATGGTTACATAGACCTACAGCTTACATTTGATACTTGAAATATTATTATTTGTACTTAACGTACTAAGTTAAAACATATTATATGTGTACATACCAAACATATTTTATATCAAAAATCGACTCGTAAATTGATTATAGTACATATTGATTAAAATACCATAGTATTTGAGATTATTGACGAAACATTAACACGAGATTAGTTGTTCTGAAAAATTGGATTTGGAATTTATTCCTACCTTCATTTATCGATATCCCATGATAAAAAAATTTCTATTAAATGAACAAAAAGACTATTCATAGCTTACAGCCTATATAAGAGGTTCTCGAAGTTTTGTTTCTAGTAGACTATTAAAAATTATTAATGGGTCAAATAAGACCGCAACATATTTTTAGTAATTGACAAATATCGCAAAAAATATAAAATAATATATCTGTATATTATATAATACAAAATGTTTTACTAGTAACAGAATTTAATAATGAAAGACGAAGTCATTATTTTGGTTCTTTTCTCTAAAACTAGCTAAATTTCGTAGACCCCTTACGATGTAATAATCCCAATTATATTGTTGTAACAACGTAAACTTTCAGGGGTCCATTTAAATTTTCTGAGTTATAGTGTATACTAATGGCTGCCTTCCCGCTTTGCATGCCATAAATTTTCACTGTATATACCCACCCCCGCAATTATTATGGGGGACGAGTTATTATAAAATTCTCTTATAGACAATTTCTACATCACATATAGAAGTTTTCCACCAAATTTGGTGCATATAGGAGCTACTTTTTTTTAAGTCAGTTGCCTAGTGGTTAAAAGCTCTCAAGCATGAGGGCGCGGGTTCGATCCTGGCAAGTACCAATGTGATTTTTCCCAATCATATGTACTTTCTAAGAGTATTTAGACATCACTCATTAATGCATTCCCAAAAGAGGGTTGATGTCAGGCAGGCGGCCGGACGTAAAAACAATTATCCAAAACTATTGACAGCATGTAAGGTAGACCCTGGCTAAAGCTGGCAAATTGCCAGATAGAAGGAGATAGGAGCTATTTTTTGAAAACTTATTTTTTTTTATTATTTCGTAAAATTTGTTCTTTGATGACATTTAAATTGCTAAAGAGTAATCCTATTAAGTTTGAAGTCTACGCCTTATGGTTTCAGTGATGTCGTGATGGGTCAATGTATCGGTGGACATTCCTTATGTATATATACACAATATACATAAATATATATTATTATTTTTAATTTTTTTACAGATTCTGTGACCGGAACGCGATCTACACGTACTGCGGGATCGTACTTGTCGCTATAAACCCGTATTACGATTTACCTATTTATGGTGAGATTATGTACAAAGTTATATATATATATGTGCCGTCACATTTGGATCAACCTCTGTGAAATACCTTCCGGTTTTTACCCTCATCATTTTGACATTCAAAATTACTTGGGAAATATCAATATAATCAATAAATTCTTATTAAATCAGTTATTTTGGTTAAGATACATTTATGTACGCTATATAAATACAAACTAAGAATTCTCTGTTTGCAGAGTAACTTTTAAAGTTATTAGTATCGATGTTCATTGTAAAGTTTCGTCTTTTCGGTCTTTTGATGACCACTTCAGGACTTTCCGTCTATTCGGTCTTTTCACCCATATATTCTTCCAACAGGTGATGAAACTATCATGGCATACCGCGGTCAGTCAATGGGTGACCTTGACCCTCACATCTTCGCTGTCTCCGAAGAAGCCTACACCAAGTTGGAGAGAGAAAGGAGAGATCAGAGTATCATTGGTAGGTGAAGAAAATTCAGGTCATGTTCTTAGTTTAATAAGTCATTGATTCATATGTACTACGTACGATTTCTTCTGATTTCTATTTCATCAATACAAACGGCTTATATATTCTTTTTAAGGGGTTTTGTATGTAACTTATGAAATTTTGCAGATATTGCTAAAAACAAACCCGGTCTATAAACCATAGCTTAATGATTCTAGTATTTTCTTTCATATATTATATATTATTTATATTATTCGACAGTGAGCGGTGAATCAGGCGCCGGGAAGACCGTATCAGCTAAGTATGCGATGAGATATTTTGCAGCTGTCGGAGGAAATACTAGTGAGACGCATGTGGAAAGAAAAGTATTAGCCTCCAGCCCTATTATGGAGGTAAGGCAACCTCTGGTCTACTGAAGAAGACTGGTCTACTGGAAATATCACGGTCTTTCCAGTAGACCGTCTTTTAATAATACTGTTAAATTTATTACTAATTACTTTTTTTTCGCTATACTAAATAAGTTCTAATTATGTAATTTCAACAATAATAAATTTCAGGCCATAGGTAACGCGAAAACAACGCGCAATGACAATTCGTCGCGTTTCGGCAAGTTCATAGAGATTCACTTTGACGAGCTGTACCGGATATCCGGCGCTAGTATGAGGACGTATCTGTTGGAGAAGTCCAGAGTCGTGTATCAAAGTTCCGGTGAAAGGAACTACCACATCTTCTACCAATTATGTGCTGCTAAACATTTATTGCCAGAATTGAAGTTGGGTAAGTAACTTATTATATCTAAGGCTTTCGCGAGTATTCATTTAAATGAAACTAATATTTTTCGCATATACTACTTGTGCTTTATTTTTGTAAAAAAATACATACTCATGTTTCATGACTTAACATGAATGTCATTCAAATCTCGTCTTAATAATCACGGTTGCTGTAAACTAACCGAAACGTCGGGAGTATGTAGTTTAAAATAATAAAATACGTTCAGTATAATATGTGAAAAATATTAGTTTCATTTAAAAACTTAGGAGTAAGAATTATGTCATTGAAATAAGCAACATTTATGCTTACTACATTTTCACATATTCACACTACACACGTATCGTTAACAGTATTTCATATATCTTCATACATTACAGTATTGACGTAGTATTGAATGAAACGGGACACGATACGTGTGTAGTGTGATGCAAACTAGAAGTAAGCATACAAAAACGCAATAAGTTTTACACGATGTTGTTAATATCATGTGTTTTATTAAAAATCAGTGTGATATTCTTATAATTAATCCGATAGTTTCGTGTTAGTAAAATAGATTATCACTTAACTGAATCTAAAACCAGAAGAGTTTTTGTTTTGTTAGCTTATAAATATTTATCACAATGATAGAAGTACAGTAATACCCCGCTTTACGCGAGGCATACGTTCCGAAGGAAATCGCTTTATCTAAAATTTGCGTATATCGAGGTTTATGATTAAACACAGTCAAAATTTAATACACAAATATAAAAATCATTTTAATCAATCACTTTAATTCTAAGAACACTATACAATACATAGGTACTCCTATTTTTTAGGAAAAAATACATGTATTGTCTTTTGGGTAGCGTTTTGTTTACGCTCTTGTAATTTTACAACGTATTTACGTTCATAACACCAAACACTGTTTTTAATCGTTTGACACACGTTCAAGACACGGTCTTCATTATTGTCTATACTCTGCAATGTCCCAACCTGAATACATTTTTGAAAATCGCGTTATAGTGAAACCGTGCACAACGGGGTCGCGTTAAGCGGGGTATTACTGTACATTGTATTATTGTTATAAATATAACTATTGCTTGTATGACGTCCAGTCTCAAAAGACCTATGAATCTTTTATGAGTCCTTTTTCATATAGGTCAATATAAAACAGTCTGTTTTATTTCCAGATCATCAAGACAGCTTCCATTATCTGAACCAGGGCGGTAGTCCAGAAATAGACGGGGTCAACGACCTTAAAGCCTTCCATGAAACTAGAAATGCTCTGACTACTTTGGGTACATTTTTCTACTATTAGCAATAAGTTACTTTATGTTAGGTTTAATTGTATTTTTTCTATATGAATGGAATTAAGTTCAGTTTAAAAGGCATTTAAACAATGTCATAATGTAACTAAGTTCATTATCTTCATCACTTCAGTCATGTGAGGTTCACTGCTAGATATAGGCCTAATCGACTATCTGACTAACTTGTATATGATAAAAATGCTATTGAAATTGCACAATTATATATAAGGGTCTATGTATACATATATGTATTGAAAAGTATGTTTATATTGACTGTTAATGAAGTCACTTTGAAAAAAAAAATAGTTTTCATTTTAATTGCTATGTAAGTTTATAGAGTATACTTATTACTTATCCTTAAAAAGTTTAAAAACTAACACTTAACTACACAGATCTCTTTGATTTTATAGAAAGAGAAAATAGAAAAGTTGCTTATAATTTTTGGTGTAGCTTACCTAAATGATATTTAAATATATAACCGCAAAATTCAACCATATTATAAATGCCAATAATAAAGAAAAAAAATTAATGGCCTAACAAATTCCCTACTAATATTATAAATGCGAAAGTAACTCTGCCTGACTGTCTGTTACACTTTCACGCCTAAACCACTGAACTGGTTTTAATAAAATTTGGTACAGAGATGGAGTTGACCTTGAGAAAGAACATAGGATAGTTTTTATCCCAAACATTTGAAAGGTTCTCTTGGAAACGCGAAATAACCGAACTCCACGCGGGCGAAGCTGCGGGCGTAAGCTAGTATGAAATAAATTGTCCTATTATCTGTACATACATGTATATATTTTAATATATTTGTCAGGTGTAACTGAGTCGGAGCAACAGAACATGTTCACAGTCCTGGCGGCCATCTTGCATCTCGGTAATATACACTTTGAATTGGACGACGAGAGCGATGAAGACGGCGCCTATATTGATGTAATGTATTATGAACCTTATTACATTGTAATAAAGTCGATTTCACCTTGAAACAATCGAACTACAGTGTACATATAAATGTACATATATATGTATGAGTTTAGGCGTAGTATGTGTGTTTAAAGAGAATAATACTCTGTTTTTATATATACAAAGACCAATTTTCTTTGCTTTTCTTTTGTTTCGTACGAGACAGTATTGTGATGTATTTAAGAGGTTTATAAGAAAACGTCTTAATGTTCGCGAGACATTATGATGAAATTATTTAATCATATATGACTACTTATATATAAATAACAAGGTTATTGTTTGGGAAATTAAACTATTAATATTCATTGTATTTTCTTGATGACCTTATTTCGATTTCAATTAATTGTATTCGTAATTTTTTACAAGCAAACATTTCGACTCCGTCGATCTCCTTTAATAAAATCATTTATTTAATCAACTTATTGATCCCACAGATAAACGACCCTCACATAATAACAGTATGTTCACTTTTGGGCATATCCAAACCGGAAATATCAAGATGGCTGACACACAAGCGGATAGCTTCCGCTCACGAGGTGATAGTCTCGAGAATGGACCTACAAAGAGCGGCATTCGCGAGGGACGCGCTGGCAAAGAGAATGTATGGGGAACTGTTCGCGTGGCTTGTACGAGCTGTGAATAGAGCTCTTGATACGGGACATACGAGAAAACACTTTATTGGTATGTAATTAGAGCTCATTTTTAAATGACAATAGTTTTTTGTAAAGCTAGTCCCAATATTTGGGTAAAACACTGAATATAATCTTGGATCGTATACTTCGTATATAGAGTTTTCTGTTATTGTATTAGAATACTAGTAAACCTGGCGAACTCCGTTTCGCCTCCAGAAGGCTTTGTTTTATGTAACATTTCGTTTGGTGATTAAAAGATGAAGAATTTTTTTTTGTTTTATATTTGAAAAGGAGAATTTTTATTTCATTTCACAACAGTAATGAATTCATTTCGATTACAAAAATGAAGTGTTATTTAGTTGAACTTCTCTAAGTAAATGAAAGTGAATCCAAAGTAGATACCGAATCGAAGCGTTATACGTGTCCGCAAATTATCCGTTTCATTGAAGTGCTCCTTTGTAAATCACATTTTTTATAATGAGATCTAAGATTTTCGCGAGTACACATTTAAATGAAACTAATATTTTCGGATTTTACTTCGCGTTTTATTTTAGAAACTACATACTCCCGACGTTTCGGCTACTTTTCAGCAACCGTGATCACGGGCAGACGAGATGTGAGTGTCTGTCAGTTGGTCTGGTCAATTTATCTCCCACCGCCATCGATTTCTTAATTGTCTTGCGTACCGCTCTGGATGCCGGCAAAATGCGCTCACGGTGTCTTGAGGTCCTGCGGTGTGGTCACGGACATGGGATTTCATATTTTTAAGAAGAGGATCCCAGGTGTTTGATAGGTTCCAGCCATCATCTCTATTGAAATTTGGGTGTTTTTTAATTTCAATAGCCTCGCGGATTAACCTTGGTATATATCTGTCTTCACGAGCGAGGATCTGTGGTTTATCAAATCTAATGTAATGGCCTGGTTTGTCCAATGCATGTTCGCACACTGCTGACTTCGACGCGCGCCTATTCCTGACGTCTGAAACGTGTTCCTTAACCCTTGTACCGATGCTTCTCTTTGTCTGTCCGATGTATGACAAGCCACAGTCACAATCAAGTTTATATACACCCGCTTGTTGTAAAGGAATGTTACTCTTGATTGGTCTCAAGAATTGGCTCACTTTCTTATGTGGTTTATAAATAGTCTTGATTGAAACCTTCTTCAAGATGTTGCCTATTCTGTCAGTAACTCCCTTTACATATGGTAGAATTGCAGGTTGTCGCTCAACTGTAGGTGGCTTCATCTGGTTCTTGCGATGCTGGCGAGGCACGGGCAGGCTGTTGATGGTCAGAGCACGTCTTACATGCTGCAGCTCGGCCTCTAGGTGGTCAGCATCACAAAGGTGTTGTGCTCTCTGTAACAAAGATTTACCAACGGTAGCTAACTGTACAGGGTGGTGGTGTGATTTACCATTGAGGTACCTATCCGTATGTGTGGGTTTTCTATAAACAGTATGTCCCAAAGTACTGTCAGGATTCCTGATGACTAGTATATCAAGGAAAGCTAAAGAATTATTTGCCTCTAATTCTATAGTAAACTGGATCTTATTATTGATAGAATTAAGATGGTTCAAGAAAGCAGATGTTTTGTTTTTATTTAATATTGTGAAAGTGTCATCTACATAGCGTTTATAAATTAAGGGTCTTATTGTAGGAGAGCTAAGGGCTCGCACCTCGAAGTCTTCCATGAATATATCTGCGACAACGGGGGAAACCGGCGAACCCATTGCTACTCCATCTACTTGTATGTAGAATTCATCCTTCCACATGAGATAGCCAGATGTTAGGCAGTGCTTTAACAATTCTGCATATTCAATAGGCATCTTATTATCCTTTAACTTACCTCTTAGACGTCAGGAATAGGCGCGCGTCGAAGTCAGCAGTGTGCGAACATGCATTGGACAAACCAGGCCATTACATTAGATTTGATAAACCACAGATCCTCGCTCGTGAAGACAGATATATACCAAGGTTAATCCGCGAGGCTATTGAAATTAAAAAACACCCAAATTTCAATAGAGAAGATGGCTGGAACCTATCAAACACCTGGGATCCTCTTCTTAAAAATATGAAATCCCATGTCCGTGACCACACCGCAGGACCTCAAGACACCGTGAGCGCATTTTGCCAGCATCCAGAGCGGTACGCAAGACAATTAAGAAATCGATGGCGGTAGGAGATAAATTGACCAGACCAACTGACAGACACTCACATCTCGTCTGCCCGTGATCACGGTTGCTGAAAAGTAGCCGAAACGTCGGGAGTATGTAGTTTCTAAAATAAAACGCGAAGTAAAATCCGAAAATATTAGTTTCATTTAAATCACATTTTTTGTTTTTTGGTCTAACGTTAACACAATTAATAAAGCGGATGGTTTCCCAACTCTTGAACACACAAACTATAACTGCCCATGTGAAAAACACTGATTTTCTAAATTTATCCCGCAAATACTAAACTACATATCTGTCATTATACGACAATTGCATAGCTGTCAATTGTGTTTCGTTATTCCACGTTTTATAGTGACTGACGTTTCATGTCAAGTCCCACGGGAATGCTGTCGAACGGGATAAAAAGTATCCTATTGCATTTTCCTGGCTCTAAACTATCTCCCCGCCAATTTTCAGCTAAATCGGTTCAGCCGTTCTTGAGTTATAAGTGGAGTAACTAACACGACTTTCTTTTATATATATAGATATTTTACAAAGATTTTCTATAATCCCATTGTGCGTAAACTTTAACTGTCTCCAAATCTTTATATATATATTTCCTCTGTGATTGTGTATGTCACTGAACTTCTCTCAAACGACTGGACCGATTTTGATGAAATTTTTTGTGTGTGTTCAAGGGGATCTGGGAATGGTTTAGATTCACAATTTTGTCCGCTGGACAATTTTTTAAAAATTAATTTATAATTTATTAGTAGTTGTTGATACAAACTTTTTTTTTGTTCGTTTTTTTTTTCTTCATTCTTTTTTTTTTCATTCTGTCGCACTTCAAAACACTGAGATTTATGGTTTTAATAGGTAAATTCCAATAATATAAATAAAAAACGTAACAGATATTTCTTGATTATGTGTCAATACGAAGTTCGCCGGGTCTTCTAGTATCATTATAAAAGTTTCTATTATATTTTCTATATTAATTGTCATATACTATATTTCCAGGTGTGCTAGATATATACGGGTTCGAGACGTTCGAGATCAACTCGTTCGAGCAGTTCTGTATCAACTATGCTAACGAGAAGCTGCAGCAGCAGTTCAACTCGCACGTGTTCAAGCTGGAGCAGGACGAGTATATTAAGGTAGGGGGGAGGGATGCAGGGGTAGGCAGTAAGGCAGAGTTAGGCAGAGAGGTAGGGGTAGGTACTATAGGCTTTTTAGAGGTCGTAGAAGTACGAAAGGCCACGATATCCAGGGTAGAGATACAGGTGTAGGTACTTAATTCTTTGTGGGGGTGTGAGACTTATAAGAAGAGCTGATATCCAGGGTACAGAACAAGAGTAGTGAGAGAGATGTTGAGGGAAAATTGTTCTGAATTGTGGTTAGGAGAAGTTTAGATGATATGATATTACTTTGATGTTAAAAAGGATAATAGAACTAAAGTATGTTTTGTATTTAAATGAGACTTGTGTCAGACAATGATAATTCTATTCAATCCCTACTAATATTATAAATGCGAAAGTAACTCTGTCTGTCTGTTACGCTTTCACGCTTAAACCACTGAATTGATTTTAATGAAATTTGGTACAGACATAGAGTTGACCTTGAGAAAGAACATAAGATAGTTTTTATCTAACTTTTGAAATAACCGAACTCCACGCGAGCGAAGTTGCTGGCGGAAAGTTAGTAAGATATAATCATTACCAGTAATCTAAGCGCACGGTAGTGCGCCGGCCAAGTTCCAGCAACATAATTATTAATAACATATGACTTCTCATATATAAAACTCTCTAATTTTATTATAGGAACAAATATCATGGAAAATGATAGACTTCTACGACAACCAGCCTTGTATAGATCTGATAGAAGATCGGTTGGGCGTGTTAGCTCTATTAGATGAAGAGTGCCGCGTTCCGCAAGGCTCCGACCAAGGGTTCGTGGCGAAGTTGCACGACAAATGCTCCAAGTACCCTCACTTCATGAAACCCAGATTCGGAAACGCTGGTAAGAACCTATATTTCCATCTACCTGGCAATTTCCCAGCTATAGCCATTATCTGCCTTACATTTAAATAGTTTTGGCTCATTACTTTTACGACCGGCCGCCTGCCTGACATCAATGATTGAATTTATTTGAATTCATTTATATTGTGTTTTTATATTACAGAAAATATTTTTTTCCCATATAGTATTACAATATATTCTTGTATTTATATTTGAAAACACTCTCTGTAATTTTATATGATTATAATGTCTACTTGTTAGACTATCACGTTCTACTAATACCATACTGTATAATAATATAATAATACGAAAATCCGTAAACATATCATATTGTGTGTATTTTTGTAAATATTTTACTCAGAATAGAGGCTATAATTTTTGGCCTAAATTCTAATTAGTCCATATTTTGTAGGTATGGTATATTTTTTTAAAACACATATTTGTTTCTCTGTAAACTCAATTCCGCATTCCAGACGGGCATAGCTGTCGGCATAAGCTAGTATAGTATAATTTAATAGTTAGATATCAAATAGCATGCATTACATAACTAGCCCGGAACCGTTGAAGTAAAACAGTTGCTTTTAATTAACTCGACAATATCTAAGGATCATGTTTTATATAAAAAAGAATATTTGTGGTCAGTGTGTTTGATTCATTAAGATTTATAACCAAAAAATTCTCAGAATTCAAATCTACCAAAAAAACAAATTTAAATGTACAGAATAATAAAAAGAAATTTTATTTTGTAAGATCTCGTAATTTTTAGGTATTTTTTTTTATATAAAGAAAAAATATATAAAATTCCACTCAATACATAATTCTTGCGATACATACACAAAAAGACCAATCATTAAACAATCCAATTAAAAATGACGTTCCTTTCCAGCGTTCATAATAAAACATTTCGCTGATAACGTTGAATATCAATGCGGTGGGTTTTTGGAGAAGAATCGAGATACAGTTCTTGAAGAACAGCTTGAGTGTGTGAAGACAGCGACTAACTGCAGGCTCATACACGTTATATTCGCTGAAGCTAGCGTCGACCATTCAGCGACCCTTCCATTACCTTCCAGAAGAAAGGCAACTCCATCTATGGCGCTAAGTAGTCTTACTGTAAGTTTATAGGATTGTTTAAGTAATAATTGGCTCTGTAAGACCCAGTTTCACCAATCAATGTTTGTTAAATCTAAACAAGGCATCTTAATTGGGAGCAGGAATTAATAATAGTGGCTTGTTAAGACATTTAAACGGACATTTGTGTGTGGTGGGACGCTCGATACATCTAACAGAGCATTAAAGGCTTTAACACGATGTTACTTATTTAACAATGATTGGTGAAACTGGGTCTAAATATATAAAAGAAAGTCGAGTTAGTTACACTATTTATAACCCAAGAACGTCCGTACTAGTTTGGCTGAAAATTGGTGGGGATAGAAAAAGAAAAAAATAAGTCGATGAAATCCAAAATCTTCTTATCTACTGTCTTTAAGGAGGAATAGAGTACGGACGGTTAGCTTTAAATTTCTAATTCTGAAACTAACGCATACGAAATTGTTAGGCACAGAAAAAAATGTATTGAATTTCTGCCAATGAAATTACAACACATGAATTAATTGGGGATTATAAAAGTATGCTTCATTCTCTTTATATTATTACATATGTTTGACTCTCAAAACTGATCTGATATTAATAGCATTGAATGAAAAAAATGCATATCCGGTTTAAAGTGACTTTTAAATATTATTAACTATTTAATAATCTTTTTTTCCAGCAACCGCCCCGTCGAGCTTCCGGTCAAAAACAAACCGTAGGCTCTCAGTTCCGGGCGTCTTTATCAGCGCTAATGGCGACTCTCTCTGCTACAACGCCACACTACGTGCGCTGCATCAAGCCCAATGACACCAAACAGCCGTTCCAGTTCGACGCGGCCAGGGCTGTCAACCAACTGAGGTGAGCATCGGTGACAACCCTGATCATAAGTTTAATTTCTTTGGACGTATGTTCTTGATGTAGCTGGGAACAGTATGGAGTGACAACCCTGCTTAAAAACATTACAAATTCTTAGCAAATATACTTTTCATTAAGTATATAGTGTATTTAAATGAAACTAATAATTTTCGCATGTACTACGCGACTTTATTTTTGATAAACACACACACATATTCCCATTCATCAGACATTCATATCTCATCTTTATGATCACGGTTGCTGTCAAGTAGCCGAAACGTAAGAGTATGTAGTTTTATTTATCAAAAATAAAGCACGCGTAGTATATAGGAAAAATATTAGTTTCATTTAAATGAATAAAACGAAAATCTTAGATCTTAGTATGTAGTATATACTATATTTAGTATTGAGAGAATTATGTATATTATTTTTCCAGAGCTTGCGGTGTGTTGGAGACTATACGAATATCATCAGCTGGGTTCCCGTCTAGGTGGCTGTATCAAGACTTCTTCCAGAGGTAATTTTCTACACAACAAATTGTTTTAAAAACCTGCAATTTCCTAAAGCTTGAGATATCTATATAATAACTATCTATTCCTTATTGTACTTGAGAAATATTGCCATTATAAATAATGCGCTTTATAATTTGTTCAATTAGTTCATGTATTAAATGGGTTCTGAATATTATTGAAACCATTTACATTAAGTTATTTCTTTGAAATCTTTTCTTTGATTGATTTTATTGAGGTCTTTTTTAAAAATTTAATTAAATATAATATTATTATGAACAGAAAGCTACAATTGACTAATAAACTGTAGTTTTTCATCTGACTTTCCTACATAAGATTATGTTTCTACTCATTAATCCAGAAAGAGCCTTTTAATGAAATTCTTTACCCTTCTTTTTAAATCTGTGACCAATTAAAATTATGCCGCTGAAGATAAATGAATAGAAAGAATTAAAAATATTTTTTTTTAATATATACGAAAATTTATTTTCAGATACCGTCTCCTCTGCCTTTATAAAGAGATAGATCGATCCAACATTAAGGCGACGTGTTCCAAGATACTCGAGAAACATTTGAAGGACCCGGATAAGTTTCAGTTTGGTGCTACCAAAATATTCTTCAGGGCCGGGCAGGTAAGAATTCTACAAGGGATTTCTGTGTATGGCAACGTGTATGTGTGAGTGTGTGTCTGCTTGTGAGTGGGTGTGTGTATATATAAGAATATTATATATAGAGATATATTATATAGAGATTAGGAAGATAATCTCTCAGAGTAACTCGCACTAAAGTTAATCTAATGTAAGGATTCTACAAGTGATTTTTCTCTATGGAAATGTGTATATGTGGGTGCGTATGTGTGTATATGTATATATGTGTGTTCAAGGGGATCTGGGAATGGTTTAGGTTCACAATTTCATCCGCTGGACAATGTTTTTTAATTAATTTTTAATTTATTAGTAGTTATTGATACAGACTTTTTTTTACATTAGATTTGGCAACTAACTAACATGTCAATCATTCTGTCGCACTTATGGAGATTTATGGCTTTAATAGGTGAACTCCAAAGATATAAATAAAAAACGTAACAGATATTTCTTGATTATAGGGCTATACGAAGTTCGGGGGGTCTTCTAGTATATATATGATCCTTCTAATTCCTCAATCTATCCAGGTGGCGTACTTGGAGAAGATCCGAGCTGATCTCCAGCGTCTGTACTGTGTGCGTGTACAGAGTTGTGTGCGAGGGTTCCTGGCTCGACGTCGGTATGCCAGGCTGAGGCGCGCGCTCACTGGACTACAGGCGAGGGCAAAGGGATACCTTGTTAGACGGTTAGTTAGATATATATATATATGTATATATCGTCGGGGGTAGTGCAAATCCCCGTAGCTACCATTGGATAAAGGCACATTATTAAAACGCGATGCGTGTTGAGTCGAATCAAATGTATGGTTTTTTATAGACCAGAATCACACTTTGAACACGCCACCTGACGCGGCGCGCGCAGTATGTTTCTAGACAACACTCTACGCCACGCGTCATTTGTTCCAGAACTGTCACTTTATGCCAATTTCGTATTAATATTTTGCATTTATTTAGCGAAATGAACGACGAACAATTAATTGAGTTGGTAAAACGATATCCTTTCTTTTTCTTGAGTAGTCTAAGTATCATATATATATAGCCAAAATTTGCATCAAATCTTCTTCAAAGTCTTCATCTGACTCGTTATTTATTAAATCCCTAGTACACAACTATCCTCTTCCACTGCTGTTAGCTAACTGTATTCAGAAATTGATAGTATGTCTTGGCGTCGCGTTTTAATAATGTGTTTCCGCCTTAATTACGCGTATCTACATTGGAATGAATGGCTAACATAATAATGATGTTTATAGCAAAGTTCAAGAGATCCGTCGTAATCGTGCCGCTATCAAGATTCAGAAGACAGTACGTGGTTGGCTGGCAAGGGTCAAATACCAGAGGTTGAGAAAATTGGCCATTGGACTGCAAGCGGTCGCGAGAGGCTACTTGGCTAGGCGACTGTATAAGAACAAGAAGATACTCAAAGCTGTTAGTATATTATGAACCTTAATCACTGCATATAATGACTATAATAGTATAGCAACATGTAACGTGGCAAAGTTTCGCAGTAGTGGTTACGAGTTTGTAATGTATAATTAGTCCAACAAAAACTGGTCACTTGATGCTTATCAATAACAAGAATAACAGTAATCATATCAACGGTCCAATCTAAGAGGTCGATAGTGTACTTTTCAGACGGGTTGTATGGTGTTGTATATGATTCAACTAATTCTTTAAATCAAAATCTTCATTACTCATTTGAAATATGTAATGTAATGATGTTTTATCTATTTAACCTCTGAGTGTATTTAATTTTGCTTAGACTCAGACGTTCTAACGAGTTACGAAAGATTTTGCTTTGAATAAAGTCTGTCTACATATTATTTATGCCACATTAGTTCATGTACTAAAACAATTTACAAGTACATTCCTCTACATTTTTAATCATGTTTCTTGGTCAATTTGTTCGATATCTGTTCAATGTATATAATCAATTGTTTCAGACTATCGGTATACAGCGATACGCTCGCGGCTACCTCGTCAGACAGAAAGTCAGGAAACGTAGACAGCAAATCATCATTTGCCAGGCAGCGGTATGTATATATATGTAGGACAATATATGACATTTATTTAGTATAAGAAATATCTAAACTAAGAATGTTATTTATATATTAAAGAATTGCTGCTCAGTTTATTTAGATGAATCTTTTTAAATAGCTGTAATGATGGAATTTATAAGGTAGTAGAGCTTAACTGTAGTCAAGTTATTACAACTCTAACATGTACTGGCTCGACCGGGGAAATACTACTCTCTCACAGAAGATCGGCGTGAAGTACCCTTTAATGGCTGCGTTTCGTCCGATGAGTGAGAGAGCCGGTTGCTCTTTCCCATTCCCACCGTTTCCTCTCTATTTTCCACAACCAAGGCCTCTTATGTTTCAGATGTCATTGTATGACGTGACTACTTCCCACTAAGTAGACCGTCTACTCGTTTGCCATTTTTAATATAAAAAAAGAATATAGTACTTTATACTAATACAAGCCTTTTCCCCAGGTTCGTCGCTTCCTAGCGCGTCGACAATACAAGAGACTGCGTATAGAAGCCCGCAGTCTAGACCACGTCAAGTCTTTGAACAAGGGTCTGGAAAACAAGATCATCAGTCTACAACAGAGACTCAATGAGGAGATTAAGAAGTCCAGCGCTGTGGGACCTCTACAGGCACAGAACACGGAACTAAGGTAGGTCTAGAATAATTGGTCTTCTTATTTAATTTGAAATATAAGTTGTATGTATTGGATTATTATTAAACATCAAAATTTAAAGCAAGATTTTCCGAATACCAAATATATTGTAAGGAAAAGTTTCAATAATAGTAAATGTTTTTTTCTAAATAATTTTTAAAATTAGTTGGTAGATCAAAAATTTTAAAATTGTTTTCGTTCATTAATAATATAATCAATAATTAATCATAACATAAGATTAATCTGGAATCATGGGGCATATTTAAATTCTAAATACTTATCTTTTTTATATATACCTACCACCACCTAATACAATATACTATTTTGTTATGTATGTTTTATTTTTCAACAATGACTTAATATTTCTTTGTATCATATATATTTTGATAGTTTTATAAATATTTTCATATAATAATTAATGTTTACATTAGATCGAAATTGGAGAATCACAAGATATTAACGATAGAAGTGAAGGCTCTCAAAGTCGACATAGCGGCGAAGGATAATCTGCTTAGCAAGTTACAAGCGGAGCTAGCGGCTGAGAAAGAAGCAAACAAACGTCTTCTAGAAGAAAAGAAGGCTATAGAAGGAGAATATAAGAAGAATAAAGAAGAATTTGAAGCTTACAGTGACAAGTTGTCGAATGAACTGGAATCGACCAAAGAACATTACAGCATGCTTATAGCAGGTAAGAATTCAGTTTTGATATTTGATAAATGAAAATATGTATTTTCATTTAAAATTATAAAAATTATGTGTCAAGCTTTCAAAATGGAGATTAAATAGTTCCAAAATATCAAAAAGTTTATTTGATTACCATAATGTTAATATTGTGTATCATCATCACCACGCTTGTTCAAGACGGATTGGCGATTTCAAATTTAAACACTATGTTACTTCGCCTCTTGGTGTCTTAATACTCTCAGAGAGTACATATGATTCGGAAAAATCACATTGGTACTTGCCAGGATCGAACCCGGGCCCCATACATGAGAGGCGGGCCTTTAACCACTAAGCCACCACGACGTTTAATATATATGTATGTATATATATAATCAAATAAACTTTTTGATATTTTGGAACTATTTAATCTCCATTTTGAAAGCTTGACACATAATTTTTATAACAAATAAAATGCTAAATAGGATACTTATTATCAGCTTTTACAATTAGGTATTAAATATGAACAAATAATATTTATCATTAAGCCATATATATGTCACTAATATAATAAACAAAATTATATACAGTGAGGTGATAATGACTATATGTTTGTATGTTTGTTACTCTTTAATATACAAACTACTGAATCTCTTTAATATACAAACTACTGAAGATCTAAATGAAATCTAATACTTATTTTACTAATATGTCAGAATAAAATATAGGCTGTAATTTATTAACAATGTTTGCTTTATTTTTGAATGGTCTTGTATTATATGTGAGATCACCTGACAATACTTTAGATGTCGCTGTCAGTTGGTAATCATATATTTAGATTTTATTTTTAATTTCGTGTATTCAAGGCAAAATATCAGACGGATGAAGTCGCGGTCAAGCGATAGTTTATCTATATCTGATATATTTAATTGATTTTTCTTAGAAAGTCTTATTTAAATTGATGATTTTCTTTTAAATATTAGGTTAGGTTAGGTTTTTGTGCCAACTCTTTATTATTGAGTGCACTTTATTTCTTCAAATGAAAGTGAATTGATACCTTGTTTGTGATTAATTACATTGAATGGTTAATTTTTCAAATATCAAACGATAATATGTGATGGTAGAGATATAAGAGATTGGTTATCTGATAACATTATATATAGATTAAAACGTGATTGATTTCAACGAAAACAGACATTTTTGGTGTTTTGACGTGCTGGCATATTATAAACAATACGAAATACATACATGTGAATAGAATGTAAATTTTTAATATTATATAAAAAAAATTGTATTAAACATTTGGTTTGTTGTTGAAATGATCAGTTAAAAGATAGTATATAATGTGTAAAATTAATGTATACGAAAAGAAAATTTTCTTAGTACTAAATGAAATAATATATAAGTAATATATATTTATTTGGAGTGAATAAACTCGATGGTAATGCCACCAGAAATTGTTATTAAGGCAGCTGATGATGTGCCAAAGGATTTGACAGTGTGGTCCAAGGAGTTTGGATTGAGAGCACAGTTTTGGAAAGGTTAGCTTGGATATATGAGAAGGAAAAATTAGATTTGAATATAATAAACATTTAATTGCAAAAAATATATTAAAATTGCGTTAGTGCTGTTCTATATTATAATTTTTTTTAAATTATTTGTGGAAGTATTGATAAAAGTAAAAATATGTTGTATTACATCTGTTTAAGTAATACCGTATGATTATAAAATTACCATGTTATGGTAATAATAGTTATGAAATTACCAAATGAGATGAGATTCTTTTTGTTTTAAATCTTTGTAATAATTATTGAACAGGGAACTTATCCGGAAAAAGTGGAAATTCAAAATCTTCACTATATTCTAAAAATACTGAAACATATCGAAAATATGGATTTTTTTAATTTAGAGAATTTTAATGCCCTCTAGGCTTGAAATGTATGTTTAGTAAATTTTACATGGATTGTAATTAAATGAAAAAAAAAATACAATACAAAATTCATATTAAGTTATTTGCTTACAATTTCACTGAATACTATATATATGTATGTCTTTCACAGATCGCGACAAACAACACGAGGATGAAAAGAGAGCTCTGCGACTGGAATTGGAGAATGAGAGACAGAGTCGACAGAAGATGCTGTCCTCACAGTACGAGATGCAGGAGAGGATAGACACGCTACAGAGGTTAACTCACACTAATAACTCATACAAAAATGACCTTTGACATACGAAGTATATAGTCAGTGGTGGCCTAGTGGTTAAAGAGCCCGCCTCTCGTTGCCGAGGGCGCGGGTTCAAACCTGACAAGTACCAATGTGATTTTTCGGAGTCATATGTACTTTCTGAGAGTATTTAGACATCACTGACATACGGGGAAGGAAAACATCGTGAGAAAACCTGCACTTATAGTTTCACAATTATAAGTTTGAAATCACCAACCCGTCTTGAGCAAGCGTGGTGATTAATGCTCAAACCTTCTCCATATGAGAAAGAGTCCTTTGCTCAGCAGTGGGCTCTGATAGGCTGATGACGTATACGAAGCGTCCTTTGACCTCTAACAATATCTTTTTATACCCACAGAGTGCCACCCCCCAAAGAACACAGACGATCTTTATCAGATGTCAGCATTAACTCACAGCAAGAGACTACAGTGGAAGATGTATGTATTATTCTATTAAAAGAAACATTAATTTCTTATAGAAATAAGCCCGCCTTTGTCAACTTGCTCATGATGTAAAATAACTAAGTATATATAATTTATTATGTATTAAAAACAAAGAGTATATGAATTGTATTGAACAATTTGTAGAGGTTCATCAGAATCGGTTCAGTGATTATTGTTTGAGATTTTTAATAACATAATTGCATATATTATTAATTCGAATATCTAAATTTGATACCTCTTTAATTAATTCCAATACAAACATATTATATTACAATAAAAATATTCTATATATCTTTTAGATAATATAGTTTTATATACAATTTTAATAACTTCCATATATACTTGCGTTTGTGATAAGCATAAATGTAAATACTTATTAGTTTATTACCCCTATATACTAATGAACTTTCTATGCTAGTTTTATAGTATACACATAGTTCTACATATACTATATATAATAATGAGTCAGTATAGTTATTCCTATCAATACAAATCATATTTCAAACGTATAATAAATGTTTTACTCATTGTAGGACTTCGGTTACGGTTCTGTTCGTTCTGTGGAGACCACTCGGCCTGCGCTGGAGGCGGTCAACTGGTCCGCTGGCCAGCACAACGGACCCATGCCGGTTAGTACACGCTGGGGTGGATTATAACACCTAGATACACCTAGGTACAGCTAGATATAGCTACATACACCTAGATACACCTAGATACAGCTGGATACACCTGGATATAGACAATACTGGATAATAATGGATCAGAAAATATTGATTTAGTGTTAAATGTTTCTCTTTTTAAACAATTCCTAGTATATAATACAAATAATTTGTAACTACTGTCCAAATCCCTACTAATATTATAAATGCGGAAGTAATTCTGTCTGTCTGTCTGTTTGTCTGTTACGCTTTCACGACTAAACCACTGAACTGATTTTAATGAAATTTGGTACAGAGTTACAGACATAGAGTTGAGCTTGAGAAAGAACATAGGATAGTTTTTATCCCAGACTTGAAAGGTTCTCTTGGAAACGCGATATAACCGAACTCCACGCGGGCGAAGCCGCGGGCGGAAAGCTAGTTATAAGATAATTATAATATTTTGCTTAGGATCACTGATGATGGTAAAATATTCTTTTTTTAAATAATTTCTGGTATTTAATTCAAATAATATGTTATTATTGTCTTAAGATAATATTTTGTTCTAGATCGCTGATGCAGGGTTAGTGCTTCGTATGCAGACGAGGATATCAGCTCTCCAGGGTGAACTCGCGCGGACTACCAAGAGGGCGGCGGACTTGGAGGATAGACTAGCAAGTAGGTTTACTCTATGTATGACTTTCCTAAGAGGAAGATGAAGACTATTATGGATGCTGCAGGCCTGTAAGAAATGGGGGGGGGGGGGTAGGATTAGTCTTTACCAGACTTTCCCAAAGTGTTCGATAACTCCCTTTTGTGGATTATACAGGCCTATAGGGAGGGGGGATTAGAGATCTATAAAAAATGGGGCGTTGTGTAAAGACTATAAGATTGATAAGTTATAGTGGCTTTTCGGTAGGTGGAAAAATGGTGGCGTCAAATATGTTCAAAGAGGGTACTAGATAAAATATGTTTGAGAACCTCTGATTATACTGGCATAATATGACGTCATCAAGTTAAGGCGAAATGCGTATACATACATATACATATACATATAACTTATGTAGGTGTAAAAAAAAAATATTTTAAAGTGTTAAGTTATTTCAGTTACAATTTTTTATATTATAATGTAATATAAAATAGTCGGATGAAATTTTTCTTCTATCGTAATTATTAATTGTATTAATTAATTGATTGACTTACGATTGATTGCTATGAATTTCAACGACATCAATAGACTATGATGTGAAATAATACAGAATATATTATTCAATTAATTACGAAGGGTGGCAACCGGAGGTTCCAGGAAAACTAAAAAACTTGTTTATATGTATATTATAATAAGAACTACATATTAAAACTTATAACCTACACCTAAGACTACATGATTGACCCGATGTTAGGATAACAATACCATTCAAAGCTTGTATAGTATCAGGAATCTTCTGGTTCACACGGCTTGGTGTTCGTTCCGTTCGTCAGTGACGTCACGTTATTTATATATTTTCCATAAAAGTATGTTGCCCCGGCGATGTCTATTTATATTTTCATTTGTTTCTCAGGTCGTCTGTCAGCGCCGGGCGGGCCGCATCCTGATAGCGATCGATTCAGGGTTGAGGAATTGGAAATGGAGAATAAGAAGCTTCGAGAACAATTGGACCGGCTGAGAGCTGCAGATACATCGCTCTCACGGGAGGTGCTGGGTGAGGGAAATAGATATATATAGAAAGGGAGAGAGTGAGTGAGTGAGAGAGAGAGAGATTAATGTCAAATGATAGGCATTTGAATTATTGGAGTTTTTAAATTGAATTGGTGCTTGGTGAGGGAGATAGATAGAGATATATATATATATATATGGATAGAAGTTTAATGTGAAATGATAATAATCATTTGATGTGGTGTTTTTTAATTAACTAATGAATTCAATACATTTTAATATAGACTAAAATGAAATGTTGTGTTACTAAAGTATAATATGTACGTTTTGTCTTCCATGATGATTCTTATATAGATAAAAATTTATTGTATGTGTAATGATCTTTCCAGAACAATTGAGCGCTATGCAAAGCGAATTGGACAGACGGAGGGACGAGTGCATACAGCTCAAAAGCGTGCTGACCAATCAGGTGGGGATACACACACATACCTACACACATAAAGAGGAGCTTTCCTCCACCCAAAAATACTTTTAGCCACAAATTCTATAGACTTTCTATTACAAATACATTATGATAAATAAAACTTTTCCTAACTATTAATGCAGCTAAGTATTATAAGTATATTTTAAGTATTGAAATGTAATAATATCATACCAAGCAATATTTAAAATTCCATTAAAAATAATTGGAGCGCACCCCGCCACACTATACCAAGCTGAGACGGTGGGTTGACGGTAGGTTGAATCGAAAATGTTTATCAATAAACAGCTAAGAGAAAAATAAGAAGCTTCAGGAATCAATTTTAACAAATTTTTAACAAAATCTTTTTTAACAAAACCTGGTCAAGTTTCTTGTAATTTTTTAAAAAATTAATTAAAATTTGAAAACATCTTCTAAAGGTAACTGATTCATTAAGAAAGATAAATATTTAACGGCGATTTCAAATAGTGTCACGGACCGAATAAACGAATCTTTTTATCTTTATTTATCAAAATGTAATCTCGATTGTATAGACTAAGACTGCAGCGTGGTTTCGCTTTAAACATACATATGTATATAGGTATTTTCTCTATTATTGTACACTGAAATAAGTAAATATGTAATTGGTTTTAAAAAGAATATAAAATATATAAGACGTACAAAAAATTATTTAAATAAAATCGTCACGTATTTCTTTTCAATATTTATATTTCTAAGTTATCAACATACAAACAGCAATATCTTTAATGTCATATCTAGTCTTTATCTCAAACAAACAAGCGTCAGTCGTAAACGAAATTTCGTAGAAAGTTGTGTCAATATTAAGAGAAACGTTTCAACCAAAAACGACTTAATATAAGCAAGTTTTTCATATAAATTTAATAAAATAAAAATGTTATTAAACAATGTTCGTTGTGAGAAAAGGGTTAGCTGAAAATAAATTTATAGATTTGGCAGAATCTAATTCGAGCAAAAATAAAGACCAGGTATGAAAAACATAGTCACAACGTAAGAAATTACGTTATAACGTGAAATATTATGTTATTTTTCTCAAGAAAAGTTCTCAATACTTTCACAAAAATTTGCCTATATCCTTCTCTAAAGTCCTATCTAACTTTCAGAAAAAATTCATTAAAATTGCTACAGTAGTGTCGCAGTGGATAGGTAACAAATTATAAAAACAAAAAAAACATTTTATATTCTATGAAAGCAATTATTCATATTACTTGACATTATTGAATAATCTTCATATTTATTTACAAGGGTTTTTTTGGTTTCAAAACTTTTTATATATCCTCAAAAGTTTCTTAAAACTATACTTAATAAGTTGAAGTTTGAAATTTTGTCACATATACCCTTTGTAAACAAATAGTGTTTAATATATTACACACAAACAACATTTTTATATATATATAAATAGTAATAATACTATTACTATAGTATTGTAATGAAATTACCATTTCATACAGAAACCTTGGTTCCAAGCATTGAAGAGCGTCGTGAGTAAACTTGTTATTTGATGTGGTTATTTTTGTTATTTATATTTGTTTTACACAATTCTAATCTAGACTAGCTTAGACTAAACTAGACTAGACTTATTAAAATATATTTTCAGTATATTTTTGTTAATTTTCTTTCATTTTTTCTTTACAACGCTTCTATGGCATTTGCATGGTATGTTTTTATAATTTTGCGATTATTATTTTATTACTTTTATTTCATCGCATATCGCAGCTTCGATTCCTGCGTTAATCATTGTAACACAATTCCGATTGTTTCCATTAAAACATTTAATAGTTATTTTTTGTTAATGTAATTTGAATCGTATTACTATACAATGAGTGTATAAAATCGCTTGAAATTAGCATATATGTATATGGAAGTTATGGTAATTTGTATCTTATTTCAATAGACGGTGAATCTGAAGTCGCTCGCTACATCCAACTATGGCTCTGATGTGGACATCATCAACGAAGATGGGGAACTGGCGACGGCTTATCAGGCACAGAAGGGAATAAATAGGTACGTAATATAATATATGACACTTTAATACGAGGGCGGCGTTTACTTACAAACCAACAGTTTGTACGTCTCATTCACTTGTATTTAGATATATTCTCATTTCGAAGATCTATTTAATATGGTTCCTATGTGACCACTTATTACGAGTAATGTAATATTATGTATAACTTCAACAAATTTAATATATTTATTATATTTGTGTGAATAGTTTTGGAGGATTCAAAAACTTGTAATAGAAACTATTTAGTTGCTAACATCTACTTAATCTCAGTTCTCTAGTCAGAAAAATATCTTTGATATAGCAGGAAAATTTCAGTGGGATATGTTTGTTTAAATTATTCTCCATTTTAATATCTCCAGACAACTCCAAGAGGAATTGTCAGCTGAGAAGAAATTCTACTCCGAACATATATCGAAGGCCAAGCAAGAGATTGAAAAACTGAGGGATGAAAATGAGAGATATCAGAAGTGAGTCAATATCATTCATTCATTCGTTCATAAGTTCATTCGTTCGTGAATGCACGATAGAGAGACATTTACTATTTCACTCACTTAAGATTATAATCTTATTTTTCTGCCCTTTCCATATAATTTATACACTAATATAATTTCAAATTTTTTAATAAGTTGTTTCCTATGCAAAGGTTGCTAAGCGCTGATCTAAGTCAAGAGCCGAAGAATAGAAGTCAAGAATACGCTCAGAATGAGATAATACGACTGGCCTCTGAAAATATGGCGATACAGGTATGATAAAAATATAAGCGGCTATGATAATACACATATATACATAATAATATATACACACATTAATACGTGAGCCGTTAGTGATATAATAAGCTTTTTAAAATGGAAATGCGGCCAACGATACAATATAAATATTGTAAATAATAAATGTAAATAATAAATATATGTAAAGTTTACAATTTCACACATTCTTTTTCAAATAGAATAGTCGTAAAGTCTTAAAATTAAAATTTTAAACATGATTATGAATAATTCAAAAGCATAATTCTTTATTAATTTTAAATTCTATAATGTTTATTTTGCACTATTATTTAAAATGCCTTAATTTGTTTGTTTGTTTTTTACACATAATACAGGAACGTGTCGACAAGCTATCGGAGAGTTGTAGAAGATACAAGAACCAGATACGACTGTTGGTGAATAAACTGAAGGAGGCTGGCATAGAAGACGTACAGGATATACTTGAAGGAAATGGTGAGTTTACATAGAAAGAGATAGAAATAGATAGAGGTATGGAGAGAGAGAGATATATAAAGGACCGATAGCTCAGTTGTGAAAGCTTCCAAGATACAATATGTTAAAATTAAATAAAATAATTCTAATATCGGTGAAGGTACAAAACTTTAATATAATCTCAGACAAGACGTACCGAATGTGCGTAGTTTCAAATTATAATAAAACTAAAAGTATTTATTAACATATTTTTTTACTGATAGAGCGGCAGCATTCACAAAATAAAGGTTGTATCAACCATGTAATTATATTGCTAATATAAAAACAAAATACGCTGGATGTCGCTGGTTCAAATACAGTTCGTGTATTTGTAATTTGCATTCAATTTGTACCCTTTTAGCATATTTAATTAATTTATTAATTATTGGTGATTATTTTTTTAAATGTGATCTAATGATTATTTTATGTATATATTTTTTTATCTTCATTTATATTATTATTTCACATACAGATACAATGCTGTCACAAACGTCTTCAACGAACCAAGAGATCACACCGGTTATAAGGAAGAAAGAGATAGAGTATCTTGGAATGTTTGAATACAAGTTGCAGGATCAGGGGACCATTATAAAGAAACTTGTGACCGGTGAGTATTTGTATAGGAATTTAATTATCTTTGGTATTAAATTTATTATCTTCTTACATATTTATAGAGCGAAATGTAGCTTATGTGTTTATCAGGTGCTATAGGTATTTTAATTCAAAATTTAAGTCCATACATTGTTTTACTTTTGATGATTAATACCAATTCAAAATTGGCACTTATGTATATCGTTGGCAGAAATATTGCTACAGTATCTTGTAGATCAAACCACCATATAGAACTAGCAATAAATATTTAACATTGATTTATTAAAAATATTTCTACTAAATTGATTGACATACTCTTGTAAAATATATAATTTATTTATTATTATATTCACTCTACATTTAATTTATCAATTCTTTTAGTTGCTATTTTCCTTTAATTTTAATACTCTTATATTATATCGTTTATTCCTATTATAATAATTACTTTAATTATATATATATATATATATTTTACCTCAGATCTAAAGCCCCGAGTAGCGGTAACCCTGCTCCCAGGGCTGCCAGCGTACATTTTATTTATGATGCTGCGTCATACTGACCATGTTGATGATGAACCGAAGATGCATCAACTCATGAGGGCCATAAGGATTGGTGTTAGGAAGACATTGAAGAAGAGAGCTGATAGCGTTGAATATAATGCGCTCTGGCTGGCGAATATGTTGAGGTACTGGGAGATAAATATCATGGTCAAAAAACCTAGGAAATATGTTAAAAGTAGAAAAATAACTTGATATGAACTAAAATGTATAAATAATGTGGTCTAAATGCTTTTATTTGTTGTAAATATGAAATTAATGTAGGTAATACAGTTGATAAAGTGATATTTGTCATTGCACACTGCTGTTAATGGTTCTTGATAAAATTGTATGATACTGACATTGCAGTATATGATATAAAACATATTAAATTGTTAGATAGATAATGGAGTGAGAAGAACGTTTTTTTTTGGAATAACCTTAACATATATAAATATCCGTATTAATATAATTAATGTATATTTCATGTTTTTTTGTATAATAGTTAAATTCATAAAAGACTGTATATGTATTCATAATAATTAAGCATGGCAATTCTTTATTTCATAGTAAGTCAAAGATAAAAAGGCAATAACTGATTGTGTTTATCAACAATATTCCTCTACAGAAAATATAATATAGGAAAATTTTATTCCAATCTAATGGATTCCATAATAATAGCCCGAGAGCCAGTAACAGATTTATATGACCAAGTTCCTCTCAAGTGATAATTAGGAAAACGCATCAGAAAATCGAACTTATAACGCCTCGTGAATGTCAGCTGAGGCTCGGTGGGGGGGATGAGCAGTTGTAACCTCCCACGCTTGAAGAAAAAATAAATAAATTCACTCATTTCCTCTCGGCTGAAAATTTACCAGATGATAGCTTATGTGTAACTATTGATAAATACATATATACGTCAGCTGGCTGTATCTCGGTGGAAAAATCGTCAGCTGATACTTTGAAGGTCGTTACGTAGAAATTAGCCAGAAGCATTTACTGACTATTTAAAGGCATCAGCTGACCAGGTTTCCCTCGACTTATTGCTAGCGGATTTTTTTATTTATAACAGTATTATATTTAAAATTAGCTCACAAATTTTCGTGTGGGAGGAAATGACGTCTTTTTAATTATTCGGCATAGCACTCCAATATGAGTGTTGAGGTGAAACAAATATTCCATATCAATATTTTTAGACTTATAAGTCTAAAGTATGTATATAATCATATAATTTATGTCTAAAGTATATATAATCATATAATTTTAGATGTATGCCAATATGTCAATAATCAATTTGCTTAGTATAAATTAACTAGTTAGTTGATTAAAAATATTTATTATAAATAAATTATGACAAATTACAATTTAAATGAGAATGTTATTTAATCATTTTCGGCTTCGCTTTGGCTTGAATCACAACCATCTCTCTCTGATTCATTGCCCGAGTCACTGTCAGAGCTGTTTGCTGTTATATTTTCATCGTCATCATCTGTAAAAAAAAATTAGAATGCGTATTTTAGCATAATAGCATTAATATGATAATAAAATGTTACCTTTTTCGGGCTGGATAGTTATTTCATCAATCGATGTTGGTAACTGACTTCCAAAGAACCAGGTAAACTCATATTTATTGTCAATTTCTTCCCAACCATAGTCTTCCGGATCATCAGAAGTTGGAACCTTCAAGCGTGCATTTGACAAAATTTGAGTAATATAGCTTGCTCTTAAAAATTGCTGGTATAGCTCTGACTCGCAAGGTGGTAGAGAAAAGCCATCAATACCTTTCTTTGGTGACTTGAATGTCTCCATATCCAAGAATTTATATGTTTTTTCAAACAACGCTACTCTTGCCTCATTGACCTTTTTCAGGCTGTTAAATCCATACATATTACAAACGAACTCTTGAATTTTCTCAAAAATGTTGTCTCTATTGTCTAATGATTTTGACATTTGGATGAAACACCGATGAAATCATTTGATTTAGCTATCATTGAAAATGGTCGTTTGTTTCTTTTCGAAAAACATACCTTAATACTGTTTATGCTATACTAGCTTGTGTTGTTTAAATTTTTAAAAAATAACAAGAATAATTAAAGAGGCGTTATTTCCTCCCACACAAAAATTTGTGAGCTGATTTTAAATATAATAATGTAATAAATAAAAAACATCAGCTAGCAATAAGTCGAGGGAAACCTGGTCAGCTGATGCCTTTAAATAGTCAGTAAATGCTTCTGGCTAATTTCTACGTAACGACCTTCAAAGTATCAGCTGACGATTTTTCCTCCGAGATACAGCCAGCTGACGTATATATTTATCAATAGTTACACATAAGCTATCATCTGGTAAATTTTCAGCAGAGAGGAAATGAGTGAATTTATTTATTTTTTCTTCAAGCGTGGGAAGTTACAACTGCTCATCCCCCCCACCGAGCCTCAGCTGACATTCACGAGGCTTTATGATACTATTGTCTGATGCGTATCGCCAATTATCTCACGAGAGGAAATGATTAACCAAATTTGCACCTGGCTCTCGGGCTATAAGTAATGTATTTTTTCCAGATTGCTGAACAATTTACGTCAGTACAGTGGTGATGCTTGTTATCAAGAGGCCAACACTCCTCGACAGAATCAACAAAGTCTCAGAATTTTCGATTTGTCTGAATATAGACAGGTGTTGAGTGATATAGCCATCTCCATATTCCAAGGTTGGTTGAATTTTTAAGGATAAATGATGAATTTAAAGTTAATTTGTATTTTTTGGGTCTAATTTCAAGTGTGATAGAGGACTCTTTATAGAATTTCAATGGTTATTTCCGTCTCCATATTTAAAGGTTCTTTTTATGAGTGTTTAAGGATTTATGACGAAATTAAGAGGTTTTAACTTATTGGGTATAAATTCAAGTACGATATGAGTAATCTTTAGGACTATAGAAGTCCGAAGGTTATTAATTGCAACTATAGCACGTTTGTAAGTTTTTAAATTTTTAAACTTCATATTTACTAATACAAAAAGCAATCTAAGTAATCCGTCTCCAAATTGGCTAGTAAATTTTCGAATTCTTCTGATTATGTATCTAAAATATTTAAAAAAGTTACTTCAACCACTAATCATATGCTTTGACTTTTATTGTTAATATATTTAATTACGATGGAGATCCAAATGTTGGTAATTTTAAAATGATATGATCTAGACTCGATATGAGAACACAAGGATTATTTGTGAATAATTCTTTTAATTTATATTATGTTAACATAAGCAAAAAATATGAAACATCACAAAATTTGCTACCAATACTTTTTGCTTGCAAACTGACAGATATAGCCAACATTTATCAGTTGTCACAAACCTTTTTTGCTCACAACCTGACAGATATAACCAACCATTATCATTTGTCACAAACCTTTTCTGACCATCCAACATCAGATGTCACCAACGTTTATCCGATCCAGGTCTCATCAACCTTCTGGAGCGCCAGTTGGAGCGCCTCATAGTGCCGGCTATTCTGGAATACGAGGAGATCAGCGGCCTATCAGGGGCGGTGGGCCCGCGCGCCCCTCCCGCGCCCTCTGCCGGGCCTGCAAGGCTTAAACACGAACTGACCAACACTAGGGACATACTGCGGCTGCACGCGGTCGATACCGCGCTCACTGTTGTTATATTCAAACAGGTACAACGATAATATTTATTTATTTATTCATTCATTCATTTATTTATTTATTTGAGGATCCCCAACAAAAGATACACAGTAAACAATTTTAGACTAATCAATACTACCTAAATTTGTGCTCTTCAATTACAGGTGACCACAGCTTGCTAATTATATATGACTAAGTAAAACAATATGAACTTATATATTTGAATAATAATATGTATAATACTAGTTTTTGCTCGCAATTTCGGCATTAGTGACATATGTATGTAAGGCTGACCGGTTGAACTCAATTCCGCCTGGAAACTATAAATAACCAGATATTGGAATACATTTGCTATTTTTTCTTTTTTGATCGAACAGAATTAGATATCCTATGTCCGCCTTCCTGGTTCTAAGCTATCTCCCCACCAATTTTCAATATTCAATAAATACTGTAACTAACATAAATAAGACCCGGCGAACTTCGTATCGCCGTATAATCAAGAAATATCTGTTACGTTTTTTTTATTTATATTTTTGGAGTTTACCTATTAAAGGCATAAAACTCCGTATTTTGAAGTGCGACAGAATGATTGACATATTTGTTGTCAAATCTAATCTCAAAAAAAAACGTTTGTATCAACAACTACTTATAAATTAAAAATTAATTAAAAAAACATTGTCCAGCGGACAAAATTGTGAATCTAAACCATTCCCAGATCCCCTTGAACACACACAAAAAAATTTATCAAAATCGGTCCAGTCGTTTGAGAGAAGTTCAGTGACATACATACTCACAGAAGAATTATATATATAAAGATTGTTTGTATGATTTCCAGCTGTTCTACTTCATCTGCGCGTACAGCCTGAACCAGTTACTACTCCGCAAGGACCTGTGCTGCTGGGCGAAGGGTCTCCAGATCAGGTTCAACATCTCACACCTGGAGAACTGGATCAAGGAACATTTGGCGGAATACGGACAGAAGAGTGTGAGTATAATTATATATCATGAGTGAGTGAGTGAGTGAGTATAATCATTACAATACATTGAATTTATAAAAGCTTCTAAATCAAATTCCAAATGCAACAGCAAAATATAAAAACGATAGCAAATTATTTTACTAATATTTATACTAATATTTTTTATTATTACACTTATATATACTAATATGAATCAATACACGAAACTAAATATCAGAATAATTAGTACCAGATAGAAAATTATAACCATTATGCGACCACTCTATAAGAAATTGTGTATTAAAATAATACCACGTTAAATTTCTTTTCATTTAGATGGAAGATATCCTGAGCGTCCTCAAACCTATAACTCAAGCTGTTCAGCTGCTGCAGGCTCGCAAGTCCATGGCGGATGTAGTCAGTACTGTGGATATGTGCGCTGATCTGTCAGCTATGCAAGTTTGTAAGGTGAGATATACACACACACACACACACACATACACACACACACACACACACACACACAGGCACACACACACACACACACATGCACACACACACACACATGCACACACACACATACATATACACACACACAGTGGCGGCCGGTGGGTAATCGAACCGGTGGTGCACTTTACTAAAATAATATTAAAATTAGAAAATGCAACAAAACATAACGAGGTGTCAATCGTGGCTCAATTCGTTATACATAGGGTACTCTCGGTAATCTTCGGTTTGCGCGTGCGGCGCTCGAGAACCGACTCATTACTCGGTACATTTCTATGAACTATCTTTTGTTTCACGCTTCAGGCGTATTAATTCCTATCTCATACAAAATGTATTAGCAGTCCTCGTGCACTCGCCGAAGCGCACGATATGAGTTTAGTGAAGCGCTCAAACTTTTTGACCATAATTAGGAAATTTAATTATTTATACCTTTTTATTTGTTTAAAAAATAAATATCAAAATGGTAATTTAAAAATAAAGATGAAGTAATATTGTAATTTTTAAATCTTTTGAATTGGTGGTTCAGCTCACGAGTGCACTTAAGGTACAGCCGCCACTGCACACACACATACATAGTTTATACGTATGTAACGATATACACACAGTTATGTATGTTAACAGCTCCATATAATGATAATACAATCCTAGATATACAGGGTGACTGGTGAATTACTATCGATATTTGAGGACGTGATATTTGACGAACATATATGACAAAATAAAAATTAATATAACATAAATATTAATAAACTTCTAAGTAAAGTTAACCTAAAGTTATGTAATTAATTACGCATCGTATGAACACCCTACAGATTAGGTATACACACACACACACACACTCGCGCGCGGCGGCGTGTTGTTGTATCAGCACGCCGCCGCACGCGTCCACACTTGGAACACTTGGAACGTGTCAACACTTTATTTATTTATACGGAAATTTTGTCAAAAATTAAGTACCCTTTTTTTACATAATTCGAATGAGAATCATGTACCGAGTATTCTCCTTAAATATTGATAGTAATTCACCAGTCACCCTGTATAAAAGATATGTCATTATAAGTCAGTGGTGGCTCAGTGGTTAAAAGGGCCCGCCTCTCGTCGCCGAGGGCCCGGGTTCGATCCTGGCCCAGTCAAGTACCAATGTGATTTTTCCGAATCATATGTACTTTCTAAGAGTATTTAGACATCACTGATTAATGTTGATTCCCTAAAGAGGGTTGATGTCAGGCAGGCGGCCGGTCGTAAAAACAAATAGCCAAAAACTATTCACAACATGTAAGGCAGACCCTGGCTGTAGCTGGGAAATTGCCAGGTAGAAGAAGAATCCTAGATATATAAAAGAATAGAATTATAGGACAAATAAAAATATACATTTATAACATAGTTCAAGACTTAAATATATTATATATTATTACATAATAGATTTTTATCATAAATTAAAAAAAATAACGTGATAATAATAGTAAATTTAAATATACCCCCAGATCCTGAACATGTATACACCAGCCGAGGAGTACGAAGTTAAAGTGACGCGAGAGTTCATACACGAGATACAGAAACTAATGCAGGAGAGAGCCGGACCCAACGCTAACAAGGAACCGGTAAGTCAGAGATAGAGATACATGGATATACTGTGTTAGAGAGAGACGGAGATATAATATAGTGTTAGAGAGAGACAGGTAGATATAATATAGTGTTAGAGAGAGACAGGTAGATATAATATAGTGTTAGAGAGAGAAAGAGATATCTATTTTACATATTATTATTATTATACAACGCAGTATTAGGCACAAGATATATGACTATCAATGCTCTGTTATACAGCCTTGGGTTTAAAAATATTCGTAGCAATAGTGTAATAACAAGTTAAAATTTCTATCTATTTATTTCTATATTACCCATTCTTTGGAACCATTCAATAAATTTTAATGAATATGAGAGTAGATTTGAACCCATAGTAGCTCATAGGGTTCTATCTTTATATATATAATTCTTCTGTGAGTGTGAATATTACTGAACTTCCCTCAAACGACTGGACCGATTTTGATGAAATTTTTTGTGTGTTCAAGGGGATCTGGGAATGGTTTAGATTCACAATATTGTCTACTGGATAATGTTTTTTTAATTAATTTTTAATTTATTAGTAGTTGTTGATACAAACGTTTTTTTATTCTGTCGAACTTATATATATGTATTATGTCTGTTCTTCCAGCAAAGTCTTCTCATGGATACCAAGATGATATACGCGGTTCAGTTCCACTTCAACCCGTCCTCCATCCGCCTCGAGGATGTAGAGGTTCCCGAGGTTTTGGAACTTGATGGATTGCTCACCAAGATATAGGTAACCAAACAAACCACCCATATATATTCATCCATCATACCATCCAATCATATTATATACCACAATTTTATAAATGTTTCTATTTTAAAAAGCGTTTTTTACATATATGTATATATGTATGTCTTTTCAGATATTCCGTATATATATTCATCCACCAATATTAATTCTCTAATAACATATCTGCTGGTCATATACTAGATTATATCATCTAGTCATATACACCAAAATTTTACAAATGTTTCTATTTCACAAGGCGTTTCTTATAAATATGTATATATTTTCAGATATTACGTCATCATAAAATCTGCTACCGCCGAAGGATATTTCTAGAAGCTTAGATTGGAAAATATATATAGTTAATTATTTTGTGAATTAAACATTCCATATTATATACCTTCGTTAATAATGATCGGTGCCATTCATATATATTATCACATTAAATGAAACATTCGCTTCCTAAAGAATTGCTCATGAATGCTCAGTTCTTATTATTTTTACTTAAAACAAAGTACTTAATCGAATTACTTTAGTTTTTTTTCTAATTTTTACTCACATAGTATAGTAGAAGTAAAATGGACCGTAATACTATAGAAATAAAGTTGAATTTGCACTATTTTATATTACAATAATGTAGCTATATTAGAGCTAATATGCCCATATGTTAAGTTTTTTTCATCAATTTAATATTCTAATGCCATAGATGTCAACGAAAATAGTTTTTTTGTACTTAATTATTTATAAGTTTATATTTTTAGGTTCTTGCATAATATACAATTATATCGGCAATAATTATATTTAAATCTTCCATTTTGAATTATATATATATATTGTTACCAGTATGATGTTGCTAGTAGAATTTTTTTGCTAAATGTTACCATAATTAGGTGCTTGTTAATACTTTTCATTTACTTTTTAATTTATATATATATTTTGCATATTTTACTTTATGATATAATATTTATTTTCTATTTGAAATTATTGTCAGCCATTTTTATGTTTTTTACACTTTATCCTAGCTAATAAAAAAACTTTTTTTGCGTGAATGTTTTGTATTTATTAATAATTATTACTTTAAATCATGTTCTTATTCAATGTTATGTTTATTAGAAACTCTAGTATTATATATGACTGTGAATTTTCTGTCAACAGAGCTACTAGTATTATAGATGGTTTAAAACTAGAAAAAAAAATATTATAGAAAGAAATATAGAAGAAAATATTATAGAAAAGGACCTGTAATAGAAATATTTACAAATGCAATCTAATTGCAATATTTATTGTTGACAATTTAGCCCAAATATAATCAATTGAATAGAAATTATTTAAAATTATTGAAGCGAATTAAAATTAATAAGTTTGTTATATACATTATGTTATTAAAATGTTCAAGTTGAATTCTTTTAGTATTTATTAGTGTTGAACATTAAGCAATAATAAGCATATCTTTGAAGTATTCTGTTGTTTTTATAAACCTTGTCTAGCAATTCGCTCGACCCCCTTCAGACACAGCTACCACATATGTAGATTGTTTGCATTTAATTTTCAAATGCATTTAATATATATCGTTTCATGGGCTATAATTTTTTTGTGCTTTTTTTTCCTGTAAACATGACAATAGTGTTTTTTTATATATAAAATGTTTCTATATAATCTATCTATCATATTACTGCGTTTGTTAAAATAAACTTAATTATTGCGTTTTGAAGTCTCTATATGTCTCAATAATGTCGATTGTCAAGCGACGCCACCATATTCTTCCAATGGATGGGTGACCGGTTGTCAAACCGTAATCAGTTAAGTTTATTGAATATAATTACAATTGTTTGTGCTGTGAGCGTTACATTCCGTATAGTTTAGGAGTTATTTATTATTAGAACAATATATTACATGTTGTAAAAGTTACTGTGTATTATTTTGTACTACAATATTTAATCTCTACTCCCAGAGAGCCATCCTTTGTAGACCCTCATCCATCTGACCTCCCTCGCCTCCAAACGAAACTATACACTGCCTCCTTGCTCCTCCTAATACTTGCAGATATTGAAACAATTTGTCTGAGAATGTGTCTACTTATATTGGTATAATACGGTTTAAAGAAGTTTAATTCCAAAAAGAACAAAGTTCGCTTACAAAGGAAATTTTAAAATTATAACTACAATTAAGATATCACAAATGATAAACAGTACTGATATTAAACAAGATCAGTGATATCATCTTATATATGGGTTCTTAATCGTTTTTTAAATATAGGTATTTAAAGATTTTGAATTTACAACACTTAGAGGCAAAGAGTATAATAAAAACAAAAGATCAGAAAATATAACGAAACTCTACTTATATTATATTGAATTTACGACCCATTAATTTCTTATGGCAACTGGATCCTACCTGTAATTTAGAGGAGACACAAGTAGGAAAACTGTACATGAACTGTACTGTAAATGAAGGCTTTAGCGTAGAAATTAGAAGTACCTAATATCAATTGGTATTTAATGATACCTATGCTGTTATCTGCAGGAGTTTCAGGCAATTATGTGAATGGTCATAGCCATTATAAAATGAGAAATGAGTTAAGAAAACACTCAACATCGAGGCAAAATTGTCGGTTGTCTCCTATTTTGGTCAGTATTAGTAATAGCTATTATAGAAGCAGTGTATGTTGATTGTAGTCATTTAAGTCCTCAAAAAGAAAAAAAGGCGCTAAATGGAAAAGGATAGGGATTAAAACAATATATCTAAGTTATTCCGTAGCCTCAAAAATAGTTTTCAAAGATTAATATACTAAAATGAAATACGATATTGAACTTTATACTTTAATACAAAACAAATGTCACTAAAAAATACAATAAACTACACACGAATTATCTTCGTCCCGGGCTCCCATTTGTACATGAAGCCACTGCGGACTTTTTTGACAATACTATTAACAAGAGACGGTTTTTTATGAATAGATTCCATGGAAGTGTAATAAACAATGTTGGTAGACGGGTCACAGCTTAGAGTTTCGTTGGACTTGCTTCGAGAAACTTCTGTACCCGTGGAAGAAGCACGGGCGAGGGTATCGTTGGAGGTTTCACGGACCTTTCTGTTTTCATGGTTAATTATACCAGCGCAGCTGTGAAATTTGGAGAATTTGTCATATAACCGATGTTCAAGCTCGATGTGGAGACTGAGCTGACGCCTGGAATATCGAATTAATTAGTTTATTACCAATGAAAAATAATATTGTTTAATAAGTGAATAATAACAAACCTAAAGTCAAAATTTTCTCCGCAAAATTGGCACCTAACAGGTGATAGAGGAACAATATTCGAAGTTACTTCAGAGTCCAAAGATGTGGTCAATTTACTCAGAGTTTTTGGTTGCAAATTCACGCAACTGGACATAACTTTATCAGAATCAGATTTCTGATTTGAACTCATATCACTTTTGGACCCGTCGGAATCAATCGTCGGGTTGCGATGAAGAGTTTCCAGCTGAGATTCAGAAAATCGTTTCTTCTTTATTTCAGCGACAATTTGATCCGGGTCAGACAGCTTGTCGAAGAACGAAACAATCTTCTTTAATTTATCCTCCGGAACCTCCGCTTTCGTTAATTCAGGGTCCGTCTGAGTGTTGCTTGCGATTTTTGTAGAAAACCTATAGTTTTAATGTTAGTAAATGACATATTCCTAAAATACTGCCAGAAATATTCAATAAATTATTTTAAATCAAACCTGGCTGTCGAGGGCGTAGACGGTATGTTCAATTTACTGATGCCGATGTGTTCATTCTCGTGAACAATTTTATCGTGCTCCTTATTGAAGCCCTCGTGGCAATAAATGCAAATAAATTTTCTATCCGAAAAATGACAGATATTGAGGTGATCGTTGTAATTGATTATTCCTGAACGGGTAATTTGAAAAAAAGTTATTTTAATATTTAAGCTGATAATTCCATTAGAAATATACATGATTTACCATAAGATTAGGGAGGAGGAGTAATATTTTATAAGACATAACCTCGCCTACGTTTACTTACCGTAAGAAATCATTTTGCACCCAACTATAGGACATTGTCGGGCTGTTGTGTCCATCAAACAGTTCCGTTGTAGGGATTGAACATAAGATAGGATAACTGGACTCTTAGCGTCAGTTAAAGCTATTTCTGATTGTATTTTCTTGGGACGTCTATGTCTCCTGAAACGAAGACCTCGCCTTTTTCTCTTCTCGTATCTATTCGTTATGTTATTATCGCTAGCCGCATAAGTACGGTCTGTTGATAACACATAAGTATAATTACGTTGTCTCCTTATCCCCAGAATTCGATGGATGAAGCTCTGAAAGCGAGACAATTTTCTTTTCTCGCTTATCACCAAATGCGGAACTCGATGTGGATTTGGGGTATAGTCATATTCTCTGTCGTTGATAGAAAGATTCTCCTTGGAATCTTGGGTCGATTCGTCTTTTATTTTGGACATCGATACTTTAGACTTGTTCAAATCTGATGAAGAGTATTCGTTGAAGTTGAGGTCTTTTATCACAGATTCTGGTACAGACCTGTCTATACCATATTGTTCTGATACATCGCCGCTAGAAATTTCAGTTGTACCAGCACACGCATCGGTTTTTGTTCTTCTAGACCTCTTCCTCCTATAGGTTCCTTGTTCATTAACTTGTTCATATTGATCGTCTACAGTATAACTCTCAGGCAGCAGTCCAATGACGCTGGCGTCGTAAATTTGAAATAATTTTTTTAAACATTTGTATTTAGCTTTTAGAACTTCATGTTTCTTTTTGGGTACCCATTTCACAACCTCGTCAATGAGCTCATTCTTTTCTGGTATACTCGTTAACGTTGGTTGCTTATTACACATTGATGAACGATACTTTGAAACGACTTTACACAAAATTTTGACGACAAAATATATGAATATACTAACAAATATTTCTTTATTTTGATACAGTATCATAACTGACACGATTCGCTACAAAATTTTAATTTGTTTAAAATAAATATACTTTCAATTAAAGCGTGCATGATGTAGTGACATTTTTGATAGAATGAGCTTCGATTTTTGTTCCCAGCTTTTTCTGAATTGATAGATATAATGCCAGTGTTTTATTTAGTTTTTAAGTATTTTTATTCATATTTTATTTTGTATTTCGAAAATTATTCTCTTTATCACTTTCATTTAATTTTTATACCTTTTAAAATCATAATATTGTATTCTAATTTCTATTTAAATGTAAATTACAAAAGGACTTATGTTTTTTATTAAATTCCAAAATATTATTTTGTTTGATACAAATAAGAAACATTTCTGTTTGGCTACAGTAGTTACGTTAGATATATACATATGTAGTATCTTTAACTAAACAATTATGCTTAAGAACTATAATCACATAAAAAATAAGTTAGCTATAGCAATTTTTTACATTTCCATTCTACAGGTCTTAAGTAAATTATTAACTTTTTTGTAATGACTTTTCCAAGTTCACTTAATAAATATATAATAAATAAACATATTTTTATAATAAACGAACTTATTTTATATAAACAATATTTGTGTCATATAAATGGTAGTTCAATTTCTTAATAATTGAGCGTTACCAAAAAGTAATACAAAAAAATATATAATTGCGGAAGAAGTATCGATTTAAAGTATTAAACAATGCAAATTGGATGGCACTTGTATTTTTTTGGATACTTTCTGTTTATTTTAACATCATATTGACTTTTTTCCCGCTTTACGTATTATATATTGTCCCATTGAAAAACCTGTTTTCAGAAAAATGTGACCATCATAAAATCATACGAATGAATCTTCTGGCATAAGGATACCTGGAAAAATGGTAGTCAATTTTTAAATCCAGACAAACAATAGAAGAAAGAATAAAAAACCACATACGTGAAATAGAATAAATTTGTTTTTTGTATACATTACCTCCAATACATGCAGTCATGAAGCATATAGCACATCCAGTGAAAAATGCTCTCACAGCCAACTATATATGATACAAAAATAACATTTTAGTTACCAGTACAATCTATTTTCTGATTATTTATATTATCTGACAAATAATAATAATTATAAAAGAGTTTTTATTAATCTTACACTGGATAGTGTCTCTCTCTGGTTGGGTGCCATCGCGGAGATGGCTCCGATCATGATGCCAGCTGACGAAGGGTTCGTGAAGCCGCACAGGGAGTAGGTCGCGATCAGTTCGGACCGCGGCTGGGGAGCGGAGGGTCAAGTTATACGAGAAGAGGTGTTTGGATCAAGTTAGTGACGTCACGACACACTCACCGACAGCAGGCCCTCTCGCTTCATCTCTCCCATGCGCTGGTACGCCACGAACTCGTTGACGACTGTCTTGAGACCTATCAGAGATCCCACCAGCTCGCACTCCTCCCACGGAACACCTTCGAAGGCATAATAATAAAAGAGACAAGCCCAAAAATTAAAAAAAGTTTTTCTAAGTACAAATAAAACTTACCCATCAGCCAACACAATGGTATGAAGATCTTGCCGAATATCCATTCTAAGTTGATCTCTGGGTTGCCAAGCAATCCACCGCAGTAACCCAGAAAGCCGTTCACGAAAGATATAAAGGCAACGAAAGCCACCAGATTCGCTATGATGTTCAAGATCAGTGATATGCCATTGGTAGCGCCACGGGTTGCTGCGGATAGCGCCGATTGATCCTGTCTTTAAATAAACAGTTGCTCAATAAATAACTTTAAAGTAAGTATAGGATATGGTAATCGAAAAACAATGAATCTAAATTTTGTTGTCTAATTTTCATGTCATGTTTATATAGAGCTAAGAAAATTTAATATAAATAAAATGTAACCTTTCCACACTTGGTATGTTGTCTACGGTAGTGAGAGAACGTCTCGTCTCAGGATACATGAGCTTTGAGAAGCAGAGCGCGGCCGGCGCTGACATCACACTCGCTGTCACCAAGTGGGCCGGCTCAGCGCCGAAATTTATATACGCAGCCAGTATCGTACCTATAATTAGCAATTGCAAATTAAATAACGATTACATGTGTTTAGAAATGTGCTGTAATACTATGTGTTTTAATAGTTCGTAGGTTGAGTATAGATAGTTCTACTAATATTAAAACCATTTGATTTTTGCTTCACATTAACCTTTGATAGATACGTGAATAAATTGGATAGCTCTTGTGTCACAATAATTTAGGAATTGTATTTTATTTTTTCCAACAACATTTGTTAGTTTTAGATTGGCAAAAACAAAACTCTTGAAACCAAGGCTTGGCTTGACAACAATTGTCCCGAATTCTCACAAGGAAAATACTAAGCTGGTAATAGTTTTGCTAGATTAAGGCGAGCCTAAAGGACACTGACGACGATACACACAATGGATGAAAGAAGCTGTTGACTAGAAAAGGCAACATAATAACTTCGGATAACAATAAATTGAAGCTGATTATTATAGCCCTAAAGACATTAATGGTATGTTGAACATATCGTAGATGAATATTTAGATGTTCACAAGTTTTTGTCAAACGAAATACCTCACGACCTCACAATTTATCAAAAATAAACAACTAACAATGTTATATCTCATCAAGACTATCCTGTTAAAAATCATTGAAAAATGGCAAAAACAGATTTTGTGTTCTAAGAATTCAAAATGATTCTCGCTGAATAAAAATTTTGCTCCGATAAAGAGGTTATTACCAAAACTGAAGGATAATTGGAGTAGATATATAAATCGTACTTTAAAAATGCCATCGAAATACGGTTATCAGGTGTAATCGTTGAGTCGCCAGTGTAGGCAACTATATCAAATAAAGAAATAAAATATTATTAAAAAAAAGATCTATTACGCTAGCCTACCATCATATCAGACCACCTGTTATTGCCATTGATGTTCCGAAAAAAACTTCTTAATTTACATTTATCTATTGAGAAATCTCTGTTATTTGATGTGAGTCTATTAAATTGTTTGCTTTAAAAACTAATACAGTAACAGAGTAAATTGATAAGGCATTTTATGCTTGTTCTCTACAGAATAGAGGTAGGATAAGCGAGATGTGCTTAATGATTTTTAACTTACCAGAAACTGTTGCGAATCCAGAAGACATGACAACGTGAAGTTCTGAAGGCGTCAGTACGGGAATGTAGGGTTTTATAAGTAGCACTGATTCCGACTGAAATGGAAAATAATATTTTTTTTATTAAATATTTTTATTACTTGTCAATTTTTTTTTGCATCTGAAAAAACCGTTAACCGCTTAATTTTACATGTATAAAGATTTTACATCATTTTTTTATTTTATTTGCATAAACATAAATATTGCACAAAAGCCGAGCCTAATGCTAAGATGCCTTTTCGTCAACTGACGTAGAAATATAGAAGAAAAAAGAGGTACGGGTTTGTGCAAAAATATATAAAAATAAATATTTAACAGAAAAATAGTGTTATGTCAGCAGACTATAAAAGATAACCCATCATCTTTATTTTTAAAACAGAATAATTATTCTCCTAATCTATCAAAGTATTTATTTTACCCACCATACCAAGGAAGACATTTCCAACTGCAATCATGCTCTCGCATACTGTGGTAGCAGTAGCAGCTTGCAGTACTCCGCCAAGTTTCAGACAGAACCACTGCATAGCGCCCCAATAGAATAAAACTTCGACTAGCATACTAAAGAAGAATATAACTGTGAGAGCCTGGAATAATAAACAACACCTTTAAATAAAACGATTTTTTTCGTATTTTAGTAAATTTGATTATTTGAAACTAAACAGTTTTTCAGTAAGGGTGGGTAGATTTCGCGGCTCACGGCCCGTGACTCTGTAGTTAAGACTTGAATAAGTTGGAAATATAAGTTCCATTATATCAAAGTAAATTTTATTTTATTCCTATCATTGACCGTATAAGCGTAAGTAGTCTACTAATTGCTCAATGATCTAAATACTAATTTGTAATTTTTCTTGCAATAAGGAATAAATAAGTCTCGTAAACTTAAGTATCTTTTGTGTTATATATACTATTTTCAATTAATATCTGAAAATAAATATGGGTATATAGAATGATATTGAAATACTCACGTTAAAAGCAAATACTTGTTCCTGTCTAACAAGGAAATCTCCAAAAACGAAGGCTGCACCGTCTACACCATATGATAAGAATGTTGCCACCTTAAAAATAAATGAGGGTAAAAAAGTTTATTTTATAAAATTAAAAAAAGAAATCTTTCATATGTTTACTTAATAAACATAGATTTAACAAACATATTGATAAACGAAGATATATAAAGTAGACGGTTAAATTAAACAAAATTCGAATTTAAAAGTTTGTATTTAAAATGTACATTAGAAAATTCATCTTTTGATGACAAAAAACTTCCACAAAGATTATGTTAATATATTTTACCAAACTATTTTAATGTCTATATATTAGATATTCTTACCTTATTAGAGAAACATTGTAATGCCATCCTGCCAGCATCCCAACGTATAAAGACTAAGCCGAATAAAAATTGTACGAAAAGACCAACTGTCACACTTCTCCAGTTTATCCGACCAGGGTGTAGAGAAAATAAGAAACCTATATGAAATGCAATATATTAGATTAGTGTATTTTTGTATATTAAAATACATATGTACTCGAATTTACATTAAATATTGGAAGAAATAAGGAACTTATTAAAATATAGAATACACAAAAAACAAAAATAACATAAATCGCTTACCTAAAAGTAATAAAACAGAAAGACCGAGAAGTGAAATAAGTCTTTGAGGATTATCTCTAGTGTCCCAATACAAGAAAAGGGCTATGGCTAGCGAAATAGCTACACAAAAACACCATTTATAAATCCTGGAAATAAAATTCAAAATCATTTTTGACGATATAAAAGTCTCCAAAACATCTAAGCTATCGTTGTGACTTGAATTGATTTAGTAATTATTACATTTATTCAAACTATTACTGTCAAAAGACCACATCGAAAAGTTTCCTAATGAAAACCTAATTAATCCTCGGTCAAAAATGTCACAAATATATTCTTTACGTTGTGAGATCTAAGTCTTAGAGTATTAATTGAGAACTAACATTTTACGGTATATTACTCGTATTTGATTATTTTAAAACTACATACTCCCGACCTTTTGGTTACTTTTCAGCAACCGTGATTACGACAGTGAGATGTGAATGTCACAGTAGACTTAAAATAAAACATAAGTACTCTTAGTAATCCGAATAATATTAGTTTCATTAAAATATTCTTAAAGTCAACATTAACAACATTTTAACGATTTTCCTGAGCTATGTATTGCGTATCATTGGCAAAACAACACTTACGGTATTTTCCATAACTTTGACCAACTATTTTTGACTCTCCTCCAAATGGTCCTCTCGAACCATTTCCCAAAGAATCTTTTTAAGACTTGGAAATAGATGAGGAAGAAATATATGATACCCAGGAACGCTATGAGACTGCCGAAGCCATTACACAACTCTAAGGGCCTATTATCTGAAATGAACAAATAAAACATGATTTAAGTTTAGTCCCAGAACTTACTCACAGTTTCTGGTTTGTCGTTAATAAACCTATTTCGATACTATCATCGAACAGTTTCCCGTCCGTAGTTAAACGATTCAAACTCGTGCTAAGGACACGAGCCGGTGTACTCACCGTGATACATCCAGTAATACATGCAGGCGAAGAAGAAGCCGATCACGAGTCCGTTCAGAATAAACAGAGAGATGATCTTCATGGAGGAGATGTTGTTCCTTATGAAGTCCTCGGTGGAGTGACCCATCTTGGACAGAGTGACTTCCAACCAACCGCTTGGTTCGTAGTCTAAGAGATCATGATTAATCTAGAACAAGCATTTCCTTAGATGATTATTGTATCGAAAATAAAATACTAAAGACCAACCAAACCAATTGCTACTGGCGTATGGAGAAGTGAGATACAATTTTTAACATAGATTAGTAAAAGAAATGAAATAAATAGTTTATATCTATATGTTATCTGGTAAGCTTACGTTATGTATTAATATAGTTATTTACGTACTGTTCCATTACTACCATTCTTCTTTTGAACATCCATTTCAATTTTTTCTGTTTTCTGGAACAATTAATTAATTAATGAGTTTGTTTCATCTTAGTCACAATAACATAAACGTCTACAATTATTACGCGTAGTATATTATTTCACATCTCGTCTGCCCGTGGTCACGGTCGCTGAAAAGTAACCGAAACGTCGGGAGTATGTAGTTTTAAAATAATAAAATAAGCGTGGTAATCCGAAAAACATAAGTTTCATCTACAATTACTTCTTTATATTCAAGCAATGTGATGAAAAATTAAAAATGGTATTGAAAAAACTAGTACCAATTTTTTAAATTTATGGAGTCGAGATTCGATCCTAGGACATTGTCTCCCAGTTAATTTGCCAATTAAGTTGTTTTACCCATACTGGCATCTTAAAATTATATGTACATAATATAATTTTAAAATTTTCGAACTTATTCAGGTATTAAACATTAATGCTATGTTAACAATTTGATAATATTGAAATGACTTTTTATGTGAGGATAAACCGTTTCGTAATTAACGCGTAATTCCACTGAGGCTATTTACCCTTTCTCCCACGTATATAGCATTATTATTACACGCATGCAAGTGCATGCAAGTGTAACAAAATATGCAATTTTGTTTCTAAACATATAAGCAGTTGCAACCTTTTAAAAGTCTTTTGCCTGTCCAGAACTAACATCAGTTCATTCTTAGAACATACTACGAAGGCAGCCCCAGTAGGTTAAAATTTGGTAAGGTAGAGAGAGGAGCTTGTACAGTGGAGGTGATATTACCAATATCTATCTCTAACCTATTCGATATTTTACATAATATTATTATAAGACTAAAGTTTTAAAGAACATTTTATTGACCGTTAAGTTTTGAAGAAATTACTCTCTTAAACGAATCTTAGAAACAAGCTAAGAAATTATTTACAATATAGGCAGATATTTTTTTTTAAATGTGTTCTAAAACTCTCATTCTGAACAAAAAGGCCCCTTTTTATATATTTATACATAATATCCTTATTATTGAAATATGGTATATTTTGTAAGTTACTGATTTTCCTAAGTCTTCATGTAGATATATTTAACCGATGTTTATGTTTATACATTAATAGTTATCCATAAAAACAAACACGTAATGATCACTTGAAGATTTTATGAGTGTTTAACAGCGTGTACGTGATGTTTACAATATAATTTTCTGCAGTATATAAATTCTTTTCATTACCGATGAATAATAAATATTAAAGAGACGAATCCTCTCATCATTCCATGTATTCACCGTGCGGGTGTCGGGTCTATCATTGTAGTGAGAGGAGCTTCAACAGTACCTGGGACTTGTGACCCAGGTTTAGGTTGAAGGGACCCCTATCTAAGGCCTCGGCCTCGAATTTTGCGGGCAGCGGAACGGCAGCGGGAGCGGCAGGATCTTACGCGTATAATCAAATGGACCGACCCTCGAATACAGCGGTGCCCGCTGCCCGCTATTTTGGAGAAATGTATGCGTTTCCGTGCCACCGCCGCCGCCGCTCCGCTGCCCGCAAAATTCGAGGCCGAGGCCTCACGCGCGTTAAACGCTCACTACCACCGTACAAGCTCCTCTCTCTAGATAACCAGACTTGAAACGATATTAATGCTACCATCGAAGTACTTTCCAAGAATGAATTAAATATTCGTGTATACATTTTTTCACCAAGATATTTCCGGAACGTGTAAGAATTTTTGTATTTTTCACTGTAGATAGTTCCTAAATAAATTAAATATATCTTATAATTAATAGTATTCGTCCCTTTAGCTTTAAAACCCGGATATTCAAATATAGTTTCAATAAACTTACCCGATCTCTTCGTGTTTCATCAGTCTCCATTGTTTCGCCAATTTTTTAAGAAGTCACTGACAATTTCTAGAACATTTCTCGAGGAAGTATGAAGAAGTTATATTTGTATTTGAATTGACCTGAAAAGGATATATTGATATTCAAAATACAAATAAAACGAAAATATATAACCAATTTTATTTTATGTATCAAAACTTATAAATTGTTCACAGATTTGTACAAACTGTTAAGTTATCAACGTTTTTGTAATTATATACAGTACACTCTAAGTATTAAAAGATAATTATAGGGTATTAAGAATTAAATTTAATTATATTAATTAATTAAGCTTTCTTGATAAATTCATTATTTAATACTTATCAACTTATTAATCTCCTAAATAATTATATTATGGAGATATTATTTTGTAGTATACGTAAAATATAAGAAATAAACCTTCGAAATTGTACCTTAAAAACTTATGTATGTTTACAAAGAATATAACAGAACTAAAAAAAAGAAAAAAATAACTTCTGCCTTAAATAAACTCATTTTAATATCATCATCATCAGCCTAACAGAGCCCACAGTTGAGCAAAGGACTCTTCTTTTAGAGAAGGTTAGAGAATTAATCTCCACGCTCGTTCAAGACGGGTTGGTGATTTCAAACTTATGATTGGAAATTAAAAGTTCAGTTTTCCTCACGATGTTTTTTTTCACCGTCTGTCAGTGGTGTCTAAATACTCTTAAAAATAAATGTGACTAGGAAAAATCGCATTGATTTCGAACCCGCGACTTTATTTATGAGAGGCGGGCCTTTAAACTCATTTTGATATTCCAACTAAGTATTTTTTGAAGTCGGTGCCTGCCCCTTTAATAGGAAAGTAAGTTTTGAAGCCTAATGCAACTGCGTAGAACTAATCAAATTAAATAATTTCAATTTAATACAACTAGTCAAATTCAATACCTACTTTTTTCTAATTACCAAAAACGACAGTTTTCTATGAATTTTTTAGGGGGTTGGCTGTTATGACTTCATGTTTGTATTTTGACTTCTTCAAATGTAATGGCTATAACTCCAGGTAATTTAATTTTGTTATAGTTCTTTTGAATTTTTCATACTTTTTTGAATATTAATTAACTTTTATTTTTTGTTTTGGATCAGGAACCGACTTTCACAAATATTTAGTTGGTATAATTATCAAAGTGAGTTTATTTAAGGCAGAAATTATCGTATTTTATTTATCATTATTTTATTTACCATCTCTTTAGTTTTTAGTTCTTGTTGTATTCTTTCTAAACATCTACAAACCTACATCGGTGAATAATTGTTATTGTTATTTACGTACAATAAGAAAGTCAATATATTTTAAATATGTTATTTTTTAAACTAAAGTTGTAGGCTGATTTCGATGAGTTCATAAAGGTACCTGAAATTGCTTCGCATACAATGAGCTAAATCCAAATAAACTATTATAGTTCCTAGAATGCATTCCTGACACCTATCAGTTAGTCATTACTTATGATTTGCACAATATAACACTGAGTTGGTTACCCTTCCTCCAAAATGAACCGCCGAATTTCGTTTAAGATTATTTTTGTGTTTCAAATTGGCGGAATCATTTAAAAGTTTATATTTTGTTTATTTAAGTGGTAACCAAAAAAGGTTACCATTATTATAATTTTATAAACATATAAAAAGTAAAACAGTATAAGAACAGATTACGATACTATTATTGCCTATTATTGTTAGCACAGCACTACAAATACAAAGCCCTGACATAAGCTTGTAATAGAGCAGTATAGATTTACAATTATAAATTACAAAGTTACGTCGTTAGTTCAAGCGCGATGTGTCAAAAACGCATTCTCTGAAAGGCCGTAATATAAAAAACAAAACAAACGCATAAACCTCGTAAATGCCAAGAAATGTTAAGTTTACGTAACTGACGGTAACTTATATTGGCATCACAAAATCCTTCCGAAAATTCCCTATCTCAAAAACTACTGAGCCGATTATGATGAAATTTTCAGTACTCTCTAAGTTGAACAACACCTAGTACAACAAAAAACATTATTTCAATCAGACTTGTAGTTCTAGAGATATGTACACAAACAAAAATATACAAACATACTGTATGTACATTTGAAATTTTTCACATTTGTTCAGATGCTAATGTCGACTATTATACAAAAACTACTTCCAGTAATGTCTTATAAAATGGTTGAAGCCAGTATTTATAATTTTCATATACAGGTTGATACTTATGTTGCCATTACAAATATACAATGGTTCAGTATTATAATCAGTCATAAAAGTACTTTTAAGGTTTATATTATACTAGCTTTCCGCCCGCAGCTTCGCCGCGTGGAGTTCGGTTATATCGCGTTTCCAAGAGAACCTTTCAAAAGTCTGGGATAAAAACTATCCTATGTTCTTTCTCAAGGTCAACTCTATCTCTGTACCGAATTTCATTAAAATCAGTTCAGTGGTTTAGGCGTGAAAGCGTAGCAGACAGACAGACAGACAGACAGACAGACAGAGTTACTTTCGCATTTATAATATTAGTAGGGATTATAATTAGTACAGCACAGATGGCGCCACTTGTAACATATGGGTCGAATTGATAACCTCCTTTTTTGAAGTCCTAGTTTACAAGTTTGTTATCGGTACTAGTGAAAGTTTCCAATGTATTATGTATTGATTTTACAGTCACAGTCTCAAATATCCGATGATTGACTACCTTTGTTTTTGGTGACACTGAAAAAATGCTGTTTATATTTCTGTGAAACTCCTATGTTTAAAAAGGCCAGTCTCCTCAATAATAAACCCAAAATAATTCCCCCCCCGCCGCAAAGAAGAGGCTATGTTGACGCTTTTGCCCCTACCGTGGCCTTCTAATTATTGACTATCCTTTCAGTCCAAAAAACCTAAGATTTCGTAGAGTTGAGCTCATTCTATGCGAACTTGTACCTATATAGTGAAGAATTTTCAAACACTTCGCAATACAGTTGGACTGCATACATAATCTAAGTCAACATCTTCCCACGCTGATGTCGAATCTAGAATGGTCCCTCTCCTGATTACCCGTTTAACCTTCGGATGGCCGACAACAAACCAGCACTTTTTTTCTGATACTCATATGCAATGGAGATGGAAGCTATCCTCCTTCTGTTTGCAACTTTTGCGGGTTAAAAAATAATTAATAAAATAATAAGCCATGTAATCAAGCCATTCAATTAGAAGGAACAACCCTTAGTAGTAAGAAGTCTGTCTTTGTTATCTTTCATATATCTTTTTTTCATTTGGGAATAATTTTTGATAAAGCTGTCTATTTTCTGGAATAACCCAAAGAATCCGAAATGGCCTTTGACTGATCTTGGAGATGTAACTACTTTAAGCAAACATCTGATTGATGGAAGGTTTTGAGACTTTGTTCATTGCGAACCTAAATTCTGCCATGTAGAAGTTTTTCCTATTTGACCATTATTTTAATTATAATATTACTACCGAAATTATTTTATTGGTGTTATTTTAACGATCTAATTTCAGCACTGAATAAATGCATTGCATAAATTGCGAAGATAAAATATCTATATATTTATGGCGGTAAAAACACTCCACACTACAGTAAAACCGATATCAAAAAACAAATAACTTTATTCGTGATAGTTGTTTGAGATAAGAGTGTATAATTTTATATCCTGAAAAACGTTTAAGAATTAATTATAAAGTTAGGTATATTATAATTTGCTCAAAATAAAATACTGCTGTTATGGAAAATCTTTTGTTTACTTGGTTTGCCTTCTTTGAACATGACAATTAAGTTAAATCAAATAGCTTAGTGTTCAAGGCCCGCCTCTCGTGCATGAGGGCGCGGGTTCGATCCTGACAAGTACCAATGTGATTTTTCCGAGTCATATGTACTTTCTGAGAGTATTTAGACACTACTGACAGACGGTGAAGGAAAACATAGTGAGGAAACCTGGACTTAAAATGTGATAATTATAAGTTTGAAATCGCCAACCCGTCTTGAGCAAGCGTGGTGATTAATGCTCAAACCTTCTCCATGTGAGACGAGGCCTTTGATAGGCTGATGATGAACGAACGAATAACTTAGTAAGCTACATGCAACTTAAAAAAGGGAACTATGAATACGAATTAGGAAATGGTTTCGTGAAAATTAAGCAATATCTATCGAACGACCTTTAAGATTTAAAACGGAAGATACACTCGTTTAGTGAGTTAAAATTACGTAAAATTTTCTATAAGGTTACGAAATTTTTTATAAATTTTTACATTCGATTAACCTCTAAATTTTTCTGTTGTAACTTTTATCATAGGAAGAGATGAGTTTATATTAGAGTTAAAAGGCGTGTTAAATGGAAAACTTATTTATATTATGTATAAATAATATAAAACACTACTGAGTATAGCAGTTGCATTCTTCTTCTTCCTGGCAATTTTCCAACTATAGCCAGGGTCTACCTTACACGTTGTGAATTGTTTTGGCTAATTGTTTTTACGACCGGCCGCCTGCCTAACATCAACCCTCTTTGGGATTACATTATTCAGTGATGTCTAAATACCCTTAGAAAGTACATATGACTCGGAAAAATCACATTCGTATTTGTCAGGATCAAACCCGCGCCCTCGTGCATGAGAGTAGGGCCTTTTAACCACTAGTTCACCACTAACGGGAGTTAATTCTTCGCTAGACCCGGTACTACTAAAATCAGGTCAAGAGCCTCTCTCATTGAAACCATTTGTAGTTGTTGAGCGTAATTAAGTAAAGAAAAATTAAGCTTACTAAGACAATATTGTATGTTGAATTTATTTGCACAAAAACGTGAATGGAATGCACTTATTCTGTATACTACTTGTGTTCATTTCTTGATAACTAAAACAAAACAAATGATTTCAAAGATTAACTTGCAAAAATTTCCGGCAACAACGCTTATGTTTTTATGATCAGGAGTCAGCAAATAACAATAAGCTGTTTATGATTGTGCTGTAGATAAGAATTTTTCGGTGTTATACAAACAATTAAA